TGTTTGTCAAAGAGTCTTTTATCAAATTTGGACCTTTCTGTGCATAATGTCAACTCTGTCATGTTTCTAATTAACTTGTGGTTTTAGATGTATTTGTTTGCAATGATATACAAGCCAAAACTATAGGTGTGCACTGGCACTCGGGTACTCAAGTTTTTAGTATCTGAGCACTGAAATCACTATTCAGGTGTTCACTGCGTTTCATTATGGGAAGAAAATATAAAAGCTAAAAATTCAGTGAAACACAGATCTTATGTTCGGACAGGATTGGAGAAAGTAACAGTTTTGCTTGTGTTTGTAAGTAAATGTATTATACTGCATTTTGCCGCAACAAAACGTGCGTTTCCAAGGATGCATTATGGACAAGACAGATGAGGCCGAACGAGTCTGAAAACTGTTCATAGTTTCATATTCACAGCATCTGCAGAGTGACCAGCTCTGCCAAGGGTTTTTCACCATATAAAGCAGCTGATGTTAGCTAAGGCAGGAAACAATGAAAAGATTTTTTTGACAAACTAACATGCTGCCATATTGTCCCTTGAAGAGAGGTACCTAATGCAAAAGACAAGTCCTTGTCAGCATCTGGTGTCGTACCAATTTGCCCTGTGTTAACTCAGTATTTTAAGAGGCAGCTTCTTAATCATCCAGCTTGAAAACCTGCCAATTTACATTAGCTATTTTTGAATATATAAACGTTTTCAAATCTATTCCTCTGCATGCTGCTAAAGTTTTGTGTTTTTTTTCAGCCTCTAGGGTATCACCTAAAAAGTATGCCTACACTGTCAGAAAAAAAGTATACTGTCCGGGTTAATTTTTGTTTCCCAAGGTACAAACAATGTAAATATTTTAAAGGTATACTATATTCATTTTCCCAGGCAAAAGCGGCGTATTATCTTTTCATAACCTCACTTTTTCAAAGTAGAAAAATAAATTAAATAGTCAACACAGGGTGTATAGAGTCAATGCGAAAATGCAAATATGACTGCAACAGAATATGGTACAATTGTGTTTTCTAACAAAATATACTGAATTATGTTTTTAAAGAAAGGTTGTGAAGATGTACCAGTAACAGTGTTTGTACCCCAAAACTCCCATTGTATCCCCGTTCACTGACTTTTATGGATATCAAAGTAATTCAGAATGCACACCCCTGGTCGAAACAACTCAATATATTTTAGTGTGCTGTAATATCAGTACTGCTCCGAAGGGGATCTTTAACGATGCATGGTTCCATTCAAATCATTTGAGCTGTATTTGTCTGAGACAGTGCCTCACCTCACCTCTGTGCACAACAGTGTTGCACGTTTCCCATGGAAGACGTTGGATGGCGACGTAAGTAAACAATAAGTGCCTTTGTCATTTTTGCAACAGTGGATGATTTTACAGCTTTTTGCTCCAATACTTACTGCTCCCTCCAACTGGAAGCAAAACAAAAGATGAGAAGCTTGTCAAGCACTGCTTCCATCTCGCTCTCCACTCATGTCAACAGGCAGAGACAGCCAGTCCGTGGTGTTGTTAACGAAGCAGAGAGAGAGAGAGAGAGAGAGAGATAGAGAGAGCGAGAGCGAGAGATAGAGAAAGAGAGGAGAGAGAGAATGCATGTGTCTAGCTCCTTGGCTCCCACTAGTGTGTAGCTAAAGGGCCAGCTGGCTGATTGGCCCTCTGGAGCAGACACACACAGAAATGCTACTAGAGACATCTGGAGTCCCTTACCCACAAGCCCAGGGAGCCAGACTCCAATCGCCTGCCTGAAGCAGCACACTCCAGCAAGGGCATCAGGTTCTTTCAGTTCCCTGGCTCCACCAAGCAAACACAAGCATGAGTGCATAGACAAATCCATGTGGAGCACAGGCACACCCACACCCACATCTTGAGCAACACTCATGAATTTTCAAGATCCAAAATCCAGTGGCGTAGTCCTAATAAAAAAAGTGGGTATACGACATATCTGTGCCAGTCCAGCATACATGGTCAACAAATGAACTTAATAAATGAATAAATTTTATTGTTTACAACCTCTTTCTTAAACAACAAAAAAACACCTGACAGTCAATAATAATAGCCCTCTTGTATATAAACTTCGCTGCTTCCTTTTCTGAAAAGTAGAAGGATGTACTCTATTAAAAATCAAAGAAAAATTTTCCAATATTTTTTCATTTTTCCACAGCAAGTAGGATAGTAGGACGCTACCTATACTGCTACTGTTGACTGGTTGGCAAGCTGAGTGAAGTGATTTGCACTCAGTGATGTCATGAACGTACATGAGGCACTGTTAGAATGTCCTGCAGTTGGAGTTCAAAAGCTCTCAAAATGCAATCAGTGTTGAAATTTTTATGCTGTTCTGTGTTCAGAAAAATAGTAGATTTTTCTACATAAAAAAATAATCAAACCTTTACAAACTGTGTTTTTGCACAAAAGCTCTATAGGATCCTAGTGTTCCTCCAGTGTCTTACAACCCTCCAAGACATTATTGAGCGGCAATTCCCCTCACCACACATGAAACTTGCATGTAGTGTTTTTCTTCTCCCTGATGTGTGAGGTGTCTTGGAATAAAAAGTATGTGTACACTCAAAAACACCAGAAATCAGTATACAGGGATGGCTTGGTAAAAAAAGTGATAAGGCGTATGTGTACCTATCCGCCCAACAGCACAACTGCCAAAATCTGTATACAGCACCATGCAAAAAGTCTCAGCACCTAAACAAACTGGGCAGTAAGGGTGATTCTATCACTAAAAACACTTTTTAACATTCGAATAAATGCAAGCAAACATTAACACATTAAAAAGTAACAAGAATTTCTTGTTTTCAAAACAAAGTTAAAATCTTTTAAGCTATTTAAAGGAACACAGGTTTGGGTTTCCGGGTTTCCAGATTTCTCAAGGACAGACCAAATCATCACATGGATTTATTAAATTTCATCACCAGGACATCGAATTTAAATTCATGAAGTACTCATTAGTCAAACCAGGTATTGGATGTAAACTACAAATAATACTGCCTTCCTCACGGAGAGGTGTGGAAATTAGAGGGCGACCGATAATCGTAGCCGATATTCAGCATTTTTCCAATTATCGGAATCACCACTTGAACTTGTATCCTTGCCAAAAAAATGTTTTTTGTTATGTTTTTGTATGCGCACATCTGAGGCAACCATGAGAAAAAAAATCTGTAGTCTGGCCTAATGTTTCCAATCAAACATGTTTTTCGGTGTTTGTGAGAAACACAGGAGTAAACGAGGGCCTGCATTAGTTTCCACAGCAAGGAAAGGTGAGAACATGTTGAGGTTGAACAATGCAGTTGGCAAAGAGTATAATGTCCTGTCATATAATTTCACTCACTCTCACACGCACCTTGAGATGACAACTCTCGTCAGTATGCTTTTCGCACAGTTTTCTTTTCCGATACACAAGTACACTTTAGCCAAACAAGCATGACTCATCACATTCGTTTGGTGAGAGTGAGGTTTCTGTACAAGGAAACACAGTGTGTGGACCCACACTGGTGCTTTAGTAATCTGAACGCATTTGGAATATGTGTGTCTGTAGAGAAGCTTCAATGGGTGCCATGCACCCATGGCCAACTATGCAGACAAGCCGCCAGAAAGCAGTTAGTTATTTGTAAAACCATAATTTATTATTTCATATATATAATAAACAAGTTATACACAATTTCTGGTCATTTTCATTTCTATTTTCACTTGTTAAGTACAGACAGCTGCTTACTTGCAAAGACTCCACTGCTTAATCTAAACAGGCCATTTCAATGGAATCATGCAGTGCATTTTCAAGAGCCAATCAGAATATGTCTGATACACACAAACACATCCAACTACTGCTTGTTACTGCATGAAAATTTTTGTTTGAATGAGAAATTGAAATAAACTTCATATACCCTCACTGTTGCTTTTCTCAAGCATTAATGGTGCTTTCACAGATGTGCAAGTCACCCATGGCATGTGGACTAATGAACCCCTATACCAGAGGCCACTAATAGGCGGACCGCTGTACGAGTCTGGACCCAGACGCTGTCTTCTGCGGAACTGGACCTATAACCGATTAATTTTGGAGAACCATTACATTTTGACGGAGTGGTCCTATTTTAATCGTTGTAACTTTTCTAGCCATTTACGGTACCGCTTTAGTGTCCCAGGAAACTTACACACCAATCATATGGATTGTAAATATCACACATGACGCTACTTAGCCAATCAGATCTGTGCATTACGATGAGCACTGACACACAAGTAACGCACACACAGGGGAGGGACAAGGCAAAAAACAGCAGTCGAAGAAGAAAGTGAGTCAGAGGGAAGTTATTTCACATGGCGTGCTCTAAAAAGATAAAACAATAATAAATATTGTTGAAATATTACTGAATTGTATTTTATTTGATTTGACATTCAGTTGCTGACTACATAAAATGTTAATATACTTACTAGGCTACATCAGTATACGGTATATGCCACTGAATCATGCAATTAGACAGTATGATGTTCCGGACCTTTGCTTGAGGAAATTTCTCTAATTGGACCTTACTGAATTTTAATTAAATACCCCTGCCCTATACCATCACTCATGCTGGCTTTTGAACTGTGCACTGATAACAAGCCAGATGGTGCTTCTCTTCCTTAGCCCATAGGATGCGGCGTCCATGATTTCCAAAAATAATTTCAAATTTTAATTCACCACAGGTCTACATCTCCTTAGTTGCTAAATGAGCTCAGGCCCAGAGAAGGCGGTGGCGTTTCTGGATCCTCTTTATATATGGTTTCTTCTTTGCATGGAATTTTAACTTACATTTGTGGATGCAGCAACGAGCTGTGTTCACAATGAGTGTTTTTCAGAAGTGTTCCTGAGCCCATGCAGTGATTTCCACTACAGAACTGTGTCTGTTTTTAATGCAGTGCCGCCTGAGGGCCCGAAGATCACGGCCAGCCAATGTTGTCTTTCGGCCTTGTCCTTTGCATACAGACATTTCTCCAGATTCTCTGAATCTTTTAATGATATTATGTACCGTAGATGATGAAATCCCTAAGTTCTTTGCTATTTTCCACTAAGAAACGTTATTCCTGAATTGCACTATTTGCCTGCGCAGTCTTTCACAGAACGGTGAAATCAGCCCCAATATTGGTTAATGATGTCCTTGGTTACTAATATCGGTATTGACCCCAAAAAAATTATCTCCTAAATTAACTCCTATTAAAAATGGTTAAAAGTAAATAATGATATATATAAAATGTAATTTTCTCAGGTGCTTAAAACATTTGCATAGTATGTATGTACAAAAGTAAGCTCATTCACAGTCACTCTCTTTAAGAATTCAACTTATACTATCATTAAGCCATGACAAAGTACACTGAACAGTCTCTTCCACAAACTCCTATGAATTCTCAAGTCTGAGAATTTCTGGACAAAACCTCTGATCCCATCAGCAACCTGGATCCACAAGTGAAATACGAGCTGTTCCATTAGGAGATAAACATCACACACACTCTACACTGTACCTTCGCTCTCCTGTCGCCAGTTAAATTTTTTCTTACGTTTGGAAAAAAAAATAAATTAACACTCTTACTCTTTCTGTCATGATGCTATTGGTAAGATGGGCAAATTAACTGAGGGTCTAAAAGGTAAAGCTCCAGAGGTTCAGTTATGGCAGCCACTGGATCACAAGTTAAATCCTGGAGAATTTAAGTTCTTAAGCAGGTACTTAGCCTACTAAGACTGAAAGCATCTGGTTTTAATGCTAACATTCAGGAAACCTGAAGCTCTGTCTCACAAACACGCACACATATGCACAAACGCACACACACTGCATTCAAACACAAGCACAGCAGTAAGAGGAAGTGACATCAGTGCGATTGGACACGGATTCACAGAACAGAACACATACAGACATACTTTTAAGGTGCTGTATAACAGGAACAGGAGGTAAATGCTGCCTCATTCAGTATGAAAAAAATCACCATACCACACACAAACAATGAAAACAAACAGATGCAGACTGAAAGTGAAGCTCCAAGGCCTTCTTTGGCTCATAATTACAAACATACATAGTTTTCCTAAAATACAACATTTCACCTATAGCAAACATGAGCAAAAATATCCATGCAGTAGCCTTAGGGCCTATTTGCACTAGATTAAACTTGAAGGACAGTAGAAATTTAAGTGATTACTAATGAGATCTGTACAAATATAAAATGTCCTCAGCTCTAACAGAGTCGACAAATAATAATTCCAGAGGGAATTAACTTTAAATCAACCTCACAGAAATGTAATAAAACAAGCTTCAAACAGACATGGTCATGCACTGTGTTTTTATTGTTACTGAATAAATCGCTACAGTTTATGTCTGGGTTATGGTGTTTTCATTAAGGTCTATCTGGGCTAATTTCGGGAAATTTCACAGATACTTTACCCCATATGAATCGGCAAGTCAAATCCCTAACAAAATGCATTATGGAACTTCCTCCGGTTAAACTAATCCTGCTCAAACATTGCTTTACAGGCTCATACTACTCGACTGCAAGGCCCAAGACCCAAGATGCACTGGTCTGTGGAGACCTCAGCTTAAAGGCACTGTCTGTGTCCGGTTTGGGACAAACAAAGCCTGACAGCTCTTGGCCTAAAAGTACTCAAATCTTTCCAGCACTGCACCTGGTTCATCGTGGAGGTGTTGCCCAATCCTCCCTCCCTCTTCCGCTCTTGCTTTCTCTCACTTTCCTTCCATCTTTCCCTCCTTCTCCCAGCCAGCTCTGAAGGGAGTAATAAGTGTCAGTACAGTACTCGACCTCAGCATCATGCTCCTCAGCACATTCGTCCCAGCAGGAAAGCAAGTAAATCAGGACTCGCGCCCCAGTGGGGAGAAAAGAGCGAACATCTCACTCTCTGTTCAACCAGCATGTGGGACAAGGAAATGGACCTGGCCCCTCGAAAGGAGAGATTTGTGATGAACAGGTCCTTGTTCCAGTGTGTGTTCTGGGAGGCAAAGTTGTCTGCACTGTGTGTTCGGATGAGGCCTAGGTGCAATAGCAGCCTCTGACAGCTTTAAGAGGGGCAGACTATTCAGCTGCACTCGCCCCATCCTAATGGAATCTCTCGGCCAGCGAATGGAGCATCAGCCTGCCAGAGACAAGGTCATTGTCGGTGGCTGCAGTTACGAGAGAGTGATGAGACATAACCCATAATGAAGTGCATCTCTAGAGCCTAATGCCGTGTGCGCGGGAGAGAGCAAAACTCAGAGAAGCTTTTCAGTCTGCTCTCTCAGCCTCCGCTAAGCAACTCTAGGGACACATTTGTTCCTTCCCACCAGTCTCCTCTCTGCCTCCTCATCAGTCTTTTGCTCTTATCTCTCCATTTGGACGCATCCGCTGGCTCTGTGGCGGAGGGATCAGAGAGCAGGAGTTGGAAACATCAGATAAGAGAGCTTGGAGAGGTCACAAAGGGCAAAGGATTTTTTGTTTCTCTCAGTAACAGCAGAAAGCTTTTACATGAGGCGGCTGCTGGATTTGTGTTAATTGTAGAAATTGGACAAGAAAGTGCGCAATGCCCTGCACTGCTGCAAGCTGGCAGGCTGTAAATCTCAACCCATTCAGTGATAGGAAAAAGGCAGGCAGGAGGAGGAGCATGAAGGGCAGTCTACAAACATTATCCCTCCATCTTTACAAAACCTTTTATCCCTACAGCCTAGACGTTCATGCAATAATCACAAGAGCTCAATGCCAAATACAATCTCTTGTAATAAATCAGCACTGGCCCCCATGTCAAAGCCTGTCTCTCTGTGACTTTTGCATATTCAGCTCTACTTAACTATTACTAACTCTACTGAATGTGCAATTGTGGCTTAACTGCACACTGAAAGCTATGACCATGACCATGAGTGAATATACTCTTACTCAAGATACAGATAAAGTCCAATCCATAAAGGAGTGAAATGTCAGTGGTAAAAGCAGCATGGCAGGTCCATGCTGCCATACAGGGCTGTGTGCAGCTGGACACAGGGAAAACAGTGAGGGAGAGGTCTCCAGAGAGGAAATGAGAAAGAGTCTATCTATAGCACCCAGAGATGAAAAGAAAAGATGAGGACAAAGAAGGGGCAAGGAGAAATCCTTGGCCAGGACAAAGAGACCTGATGCAGAGCAAGATGTGGAACAGGTCCAATGAAATAAACCGCAGTCAGATTCCAGGCTAACAACCCAGCTCTTTCTCCATCCAACACACACGCACAGAAGGCAGAAGACACAGCCTGCTCTGCGCTCTCTTGTACTGTCTTGTACCCAATCCCCATTGCCCCAGAGCCCTCACAACCTCAAAGCTCTAACAACAATAAGGCAGCAATGGCGCTGCCACCAGAATAATACCGTCATTTCTATCTGCTATTCAGATTTCTCTCCATGGGAATCACACTCAGAAAAGAAATGGCCCCGTAGTGTATGCATGTCAGTGTGTGTGTGTATGAAGCCAGACCTGGAACACAAGGTTAGATAAATAAGTCCCTGTGTGTTTGTCTTGGCCTGGACAGCACATCATTTTACAGACACAACCAAAATACACTCCAATTTCTGTCCAAGTAATTGGACAGTGACACAATTTTACTTGTTTTGGCTCTGTAGTCCAGCATATTCAATTAGAAATAAAACAAAGACTATGAAGATAAAACACAAAATGAGGAAATACAGGAATATTTTTATACATAGTTCTCCTATATAGGCAACAGCAAAAGACTTCACTTGCAAATGTTACTATCTAATCTAGAAACAACTCTAGACCTTTTGTTAGCTTTCTTGTATCTAGACTAATGACAAGAAACAAAAAAGCAGCCAACTGTCCTATTATTTACTGACCCCAAAATGTGGCTGTGTAAAAAGGGCTGTGATTCCTTTAACAACATTGATGCAAGCATCCTTTAAGCTGTCATTCTGCACTTTAAAGTCATAGTTGTTGATGTATTTCAAATTCAGTTACAGAGTTCAGAGCCAAAACAACAAAGTGTGTCACTGTTCAATTTCTTATGGACAGAGACATTAAAAACAGATAGGAAGAAAGGAAAGAAGGAAAAGATACACCTAGCTGAGGGTGCTCTCACAGACTGTCAGTGGGAATAAAGATTGTGGTTGTGGGTTTTTACACACAAATAAGCTGGTATGTTGCTAAAGACCTGGACACATAAATATGCTTCCATTTCACATGCCTTTTGTTAGGAGTAACAAAAGAGGTGTAATCACAGAGCAGTAAAGTCACAAAAATGAAGTACACTAAATTTCTTGAATAGAATAAAAAAAAAAAGAACTGAAAACCTCACAAACATGCATTTCAGGAAATCAGACATAAAATATATTATACACTGATTTCCTGATTTCTATAATTTAATTTTGTGAAGTGGAAATTAATCTGTTCCTAAGTGGGCAGACTGATATACAGATTCTGCTAGGCTGGATTAGGTAATATGTTTGCAAAAAGATTAAGCTTAAAAGATTGGAATGTAGAAATATAGCTATTAAGCCTGTGTATGCTGTATCAAAGTGTGTACACATGTGTGTCATTTTACAAAATACTTATACACTAGCAAGATAAAGCAGGCTTTTTAACATGTATAAACAGAAATGCCACACCAAAAACAGATCCACACCTGCTCTCTTTCTTTTACACACACACGATCACAGGCAAACATACAGGGTGTGATGCGAGCAGAGACTCTGGCTGTGTGTGTGGGAGTGTTTATGAGTGTGTTTGACGTTCACACAAGCCTGCAGCCCTTTGAGGCCCCTTTGATGTGAGTGGACACAGAGTTAAGACACAAGAAGAACAGTGTGTCCTAATTATTCTTAGAATTCAGAGAGAGGAGAGAGACAGAGACAGGGACACAGAGAGAAACAGACAGAAAGACAGAACCACAGAGAGAGAGAGAATAGGGGTTAGGTCTTACCTGTCCATCCTGTCCAACATGAACCTGGTGAATTTGCAGATTGCCCTGCAGAACACACAGAGAGTACCTCCGGTCATCCACAACACTTTTACAATCTGGACAATATTTAACACTCACAGTGTGATACCCAATGTCCATATTGGGCTGATACCAGCTGAAAATGCCAGATTGGATATTGTTGGAAAAGAAAAACAAATCAATTTCAATCCTGTACCAAATATAGCCTGAAACAGCCACATATCTGCATAGTAGGTCATTTTCTTTACTTTTTTGAAAAAGGTTTACCTAAATAAGTCATGATGTTGGCTATGTATTTCTTCAGTTTAACCATGGTACATTTATATGGTCATCTGAAGTGAGATGCTTCATCTGAACATTTTAAAGCTTAATTGTTACACAAACTTCAATTCCAAAAAAGACGAATACAAATAAAAACAGAAAGCAACGATTTAAAAATTCATTTTGACAAATATTGTGGGCCAGCCCAATGGATTAGGTCATCTGTATACACGTAAACTTTGTTTTGGTTTTGACTGCATGCCATGACTGAGTAGTATCGACAAGAAAAAAACAAAGGTTGGTCAAATGAGGACAATACACAGTGGCAGTACAGAAAGGCACAGCCTTAACATTCATAACAAGGACTGATGTGGAAGGCTTGGCCAGTTTGTGTGTCTATTTTGGGAAGAATTGGGAGTTGGGGGATCCCCCGTATTTTCTCAACTGAATGCTGGCAGGTATGGAGCACATGCAAATCTGCATACACACAAGAGTACACAACATGGATATTCACACACATGCATGCACAAAGACTTCCTCTCTCACACACAGTGGAGATGTGGGCAGTGGGAATAACCTCAGAATGGCTCATTTCCTTTTCAAACTCTCTTAAACAAATGGCTTTGATGAGACAGGCCCAGTTTCTAATGAAAACACTCTTTGTGAATGGCAGTTGGAAGAAGTGGGATTTTGTTGCTAAGCTTTGAACTTTAACAACAAACAATAACGCTGAAGTTAAAAGAGGGGAAAAGGCTTTTTCTGGCATCCTTCTAACTAACTGGGAAGAGCTATACACATTTCCTGTCTTTTTTCTTTCTCTCTTGCTCTGTTTCGTTACTGAATCTGTATTAATGACATGCATGTTTACATTTGCATGTATTTACAATGGCTTTAAACTCTATTGGTTCCATATCTTTGAGTATCTACAGTTAATGTAATTATCACTGTAATACTGCCACATGTTGGATAAACCAACTGGCATTAATTTTGTTAATGGATGGAAGTTATAATGCCACTAATTAAGGAGTCACTCCAGATCAACTGCTTCTTTCCACATTAGCTTTCCAGCAATCTAGCAATTACAATGCAATGCATTTTTTACAACCCCATTTCCAAAAAAGTTGGGACGCTGTGCAAAATGTAAAAAAAAACAAAACAAAAAAAAACAAAATGCAATCATGTGCAAATCATTTAAACCCTATATTTAATTGAAAATAGTACAGACAACACATCAAATGTTGAAACTGAGAATTTTTCTTTTTAAATATATGCCCATTTTGAATTTGTTGCCAATAACATGTTCCAAAAAAGTTGCTGGTAAAGTTTTATAACGCTAAAAAAACACCTGGTTGTTGATTGACAACAGGTCAGGAACATGACTGGATATAAAAAAAGCATCCCAGAGAGGCTGAATCTTTCAGAAGTAAAGATCTAAAAGGGGTTCACCACTCTGTGAAAGACTGCGCGGGCAAACAGTGGGACAATTCCAGAATAACGTTTCTCAACATAAAATGGTAAAGAACTTCTTCATCTACAGTACATAATATGAGAATCCGGAGAAATCTCTGTACACAAGGGACAAGGCCAAAAAACAGTATTTGTTGGCCTTGATCTCTGGGCCCTCAGGCAGCACTGCATTAAAAACAGACATGATTCTGCAGTGGAAATCACTGCATGGGCTCAGAAACACTTCTGAACACTGTCTGTGAAAACAGTTCATCACTGCATCCACAAATGCAAGTTAGTTTTTCAGGGAAGGCCTTGCTTATTTCAGCAAGACAATGTCAAACCACATTCTGCATGTATTACAACAGCATTGCTCCATATTAAAAGAGTTTGGGTGCTAAACTGGCCTGCCTGTAGTCCAGACCTGTCACCCACTGATAAAATTTGGAGGGTTATGAAATGAAAAATACGACAAAGGAGACCTCAAACTGATGAGCAGCTGAAATCCTATGTTAAGCAAGAATGGGAAAACATATCACTTTCTAAAGTACAGCAGTTGGTCTCCTCAGTTCCCAAACGCTTACAAAGTTTGTTTAAAAAAGACGAGGTGACATAACAGAGTGGTAAACATGCCCCCGTCCCAACTTTTTTGGAACGTGTTGTTGGCATCAAATTCAAAATGGGCATATATTTTTCAAAAAACAATAAAATTTCTCAGTTTCAATATTTGATATGTTATCTTTGTACTATTTTCTTTCAAATATATGGTTTACATGATTTGCATATCATTGCATTCTATTTTTATTTACATTTTGGACAGCATCTCAACTTGAAAATGGGGTTGTATTTCAACAGCCACAAGAGCACAGACTAAATGAGAAAGTTTTATCTCAGGAATTTGCTTAGTTCAGTTTGAGCAATCAACATCAATGGCAGTCTCTCCGTTACTCACAAGAACTTCCTCTGTAAATATAAACTAGAAGGCTGATGTTAGAACTATTAACAGATATGTTATACATTTTAGACTTCCATTTCCAAAGTGAGCCAAATTATTGTTTAAAGTGCCTTTCAGCTCAGCCAGAAAAAGAACCATCTGGCTACTGAATGGAAACAAACATATTTCTGAGAGGCCATGAAAACCATATATTTTTTCAGGAAGGCAGCCACCAGCATATTTTCTGGGAATGTCCAGCAACAAGACTCTTCTGAACAGAGCTATATGAAGCACTGGGGAAGACATTTAACACTAAACTAACCTTTCACTTTGACATATCGCTCATGGGGATGCTACATTTTGACTTAACGATGGAACAAGGAATTTACGGGGCATTATTTTCTTTGCAGAATTGTAAGTAAAAAAGCCTTCAATTCTGTGACTTATTTTTGATTTCTCAAAAAAGACTGTGACTGATTTTTGATTTCTCAACACATATATTGGTTAATAAAATGTGTGTAAATAAAAAAACATTTTCAACTACAATTATAAATGGGAGAGTTTTGAAAATGATGATCAAAAGGGGTTGATTACGTAAGTGTAGTAAGGTCAGATTTCACTGAAACAGTGTGACATTGATATTTCTGCCCCTCCAGAGATTCATGATACATTTAAAACCTCTACTTTTTTTTAAATCAGGAATCTCCACAGGTTTTAATGGTATGATGGTTTAAAGGTTTTAAATATAAAACAAGATGTACAGAAAAGCTGCTTACAACACCTAAGAATGATATATATATATATATATATATATATATATATATATATATATATGATTCTTAATAAACAGAGTCAGCAAAAGTTGTTCAAGTTTGCTATTGAGATCAGAGCACACAACTAGTAAAGTGCAGCTCAGAGAGATTACATCTCACTGCCATAAGCAATCACTTATGAGAAACAGGAAGGCAGTTCTTTACACAGCTTTAACCCTTCATTCAAGCCACCAAATCAAATTAATTAATAATGATATGAAAAGCAAAAACAACTACAGACCAATGCTCTTCCTCCACTCTATTGCTTTAATAGTTTCGTTAATATGAGCCCTGACCAAAAAGCTATAACCATAAGGCAAATACTTAAAAAGATAAGCAGTAGAAAACAATAAGGGGAATGGAATAAGGAGGGCTGTTGAGAGGGTACTACAGGAAAAACAGGCAGTAAGGAAAGGAAAGGAAAGGAAAGCAGAAGGAAGAAGGATGACAAAACAGGGAAGAGGAGCTGTGAAGATGAAAGGATAAAAGTGAGTAGGAGGAATGAAAAAGGAGAATGGAAACAGGACTGGTTGATGATGAAAGAGATGTGAAAGAAGTGAGCAGATCTTGTGAAAATGGGTCCTTATAGCATCTGTCCAATCGCAGCCTTTGAACTTATAGGAATTCTACTAGCTTTATTCTTTTTCCTCAGAGATCATCTTAATACTGTTATGTACAACTGGCTTTGTTGGGGCTAACACATGGCTGACACAGATATTTCTGCCCCAGATGGATATTATGCAATTCACATAGAATTACTGCTTATGTGTATGATTCCAAAGCTTCAAGATATGAAAGACACTAGACCACATTGAAGGAGCCAGTCATCCTCACTGAATGATCATTATTCTTGTTGAATGACACTTGGGGAACAAAAATTCAGTGATTCATAATTGCATGTTAATAAGCTTCAGGTGCTTGGGAATGCTGGTGCTTCCATTCCTTTAAACGAAAAGCTATTATGAATCTGTCAGGATGTGTATGTTGAGCAAAAAGCACTCAAATTTCTCAACATCTCAACAGGCCAAGGAGAACAGGGTGCCATTGTTTAAAACTGGAGTTGAGAAATAAACTTGGAACCTTCAAAAAGTTGGCTTATTGTAAAATGGAATGGGTGTGCCACATTTAGAAGTTCTGATATCACCGACATCTACAGAGTAATGGAATCATGAAGTGGGGGAGAAGAATGAAAAAAAAGAGATTGAGAGAGAGAAGCAGAAGAAGAAAATGAATTTGTAAGCAGACATTCTTACCTCACTGTCCTGTGTGATCTGCACCTGCTCTCCCTGTGGCACCTGAGCGATGTGGAGGTGTCCCTGTGGAATCTGGAGAGATTAAAATAGAACAAGTGTATATGTGTGTGTCCTGGCAGCTGTGCTACAGGGTGAAAGTGAGCTCTTGCTTCTCTGGTGTTCTGTAGAGCCAGCACTCGCGTGGTGGCACAGGAAGGCCTTGCCCTGCCAGTGTATGTGCTTTACATTTCCTCCAGTGCATTAACAGTGCTTGTAAACTTCAGGCTTAGCTGCTCCCACTAATCCCCTGTATAATATCAGGAGTGTAACAACTGTTGAACAGTAGGCCTTGGCTGCTCATTCAACCTCTCCCTCTCTCTCTCTGATTTCAACCTCTCCTCCACCTGTCGGTAATACAACAGAAAAGTTACATCACCAACTTTCTTTAAGTATAGCGGTTTTGACAGTCATCCACAGCATTCTTTAACAACTAATACATTACGAATCTACAACAACACTGAACCTATTTAAAGATTATTTGATTAATATAACATGACTGAAGCTTAGGATAAATGAAGATAAAATTCTTTCTAGAAGATCTGGAAGTTCTGACTGAGGAGGCGAGTCCCAGCTGCTAAAAGACAAGCAGTTTGCGAATTCACTGTGAAGAACATAAAACTAAACCTACCAAAACATCTGTGGATGAATAAAAAAAAAAAAAAAATCGGGGTGAGTTCTAAAAAGGTTTCTCTCACATCCTGCATCATCATGATCATGGGGAGAAACATTTTTTTAGACTAAAAAAAAAAATCTATCATTTATATGCATTGCCAAAGTACATATGTAGTTGCTATAATGCTTACATTTACATTTACATCATTTAGCAGACGCTCTTATCCAGAGTGACTTACAAAAAGTGCTTTGTCTATCCAGAGAAAGTGTCTTCGCTAGTTACCAATAGGTTAGATTTTTTCCTTTATAGATAGATAGTTACCTTTTTTCACTAACGCTCCAATGATCGTACCAACATTGAGGAAATGTTATAGGCTGGATGGATGAAAATTATTCTTTTTTTAGGCTTCTACGCACATGTGCTGTGTGTGTGTGCATGTGGGAGGAGGTGACCAGAAGCAGCTGTATGGTTCAGGAGTCATGGAAAGGCTCATGAAGGAAACTATAGGAGAGGGCACAGAGGAAGCTGTAAGCTGACAAAGCTCAGCTTGATTAAACACTAACACACTCAGGGCAGGGCCACACACAGATGCTCTCCTGTGGAGATAACGGGTATGTGTGAGCATGTGTGCTCGACTGTTTAACAAGGAGGATGAGAAACAGTGCATAAATGTTCAGATGTGTGTCCACAAGCCTCCGAATGATGAGTACTTACCACCTGCACCTGTCCATCCTCTCCTATGCGGTGGATCTGAACCTGCTGGGCAGCACCAGCCAGTGCATACTGCAAAGCCTGCTGGGTAGAAGAGTCTATAGATGCTGTTTCTGTTACAGAGACTCCCTCTGCACAAAAAAGAAAAACACACACATACACATATCACATCACTGCACATAGCTGGCAGGTCAAAACAGTTATCTATGTCAACTGGGTGGTTCCGGATGAGGCAGGAAAAGAGGGACTGCAATCATTAAACATTCAAAAAGGGAAGGACAAGCTGATGTCCAGCACTGTCTGAATATGTGCCACATGTTTATTCTCTCACAAACACTACTTCACTCACACTCAGGGATAGGCTACATTCTGCATTACCATTTGGCCTTTAGCAAGCATATATACATATGGGCTACACATACTGCACATGTACATTTTAGCAAACACACAAGCATACACATACTTCAAACCAGAGGAATGTCCCATACCCCAATTCTCAAAACACTTGGAAAAAGTCCAGATTACAGCTTGTTTATACAGCATAAACCATCTCCAAAAACACAACACGGACTCTCCAGTGAGCAGTCCAAACACACTCGTACCCCTGCAGCAAAAAGTAAACGCAGGCCCACAGTCTAAACACTCACTATCATCACTGCAGCAGTCACACCCAGCCGGGGTGATGCACACTACTGACCAGCACCACACATATGCCTTACAGGCTGCCAATGCACACAGATAAAATGTTACATGCTTGTAGAGAATCGCACATAAACACAATACACCTACACTCTTTTAGATGTCACTCACAGTGGTATTCTTTCACTAATGAGACAGAGCAAGTCAGACTTTGATGAGGGGGCTTGAGTCCTTTGAGAAAAACAAAACACTACTGTTGTGACTGGGAGCAATGGAACCAAATATTTCAGAATCAGCGATGGTATCTAAGGCCTATAACTACTACTTTAGTATTTAGTGCGTTCACATCCTGCCTTCTGCCCAATGACATCTGGGCTAGTCTCCAGCACCCCCCCGCGACCTAGAGGGATAAGTGGTTTAGATGATGTGTGTGTGTGTGTGTGTGTGTGTGTGTGTGTGTGTGTGTGTGTTCACGTTTAACCTTTATTACACCTTCCAGGCTTTTTAGAAGACTTGTTTTCTTTAGTTTTTCAAGAAAAATCTGCAGGGAAATTTTTCCACACCTCTAAAATTCAATCTTAGAACTTTTTTTTGCTTCTCACAATTCAAGTAATCCCAAACACATTCAGTGACTCTAGGGTGATCAGCCTATTGTTCTGAGAACAACAGCAGGTTCTTTGTTTGACTTACAAATTTGCTTCTTTTTTGCTAATTTCCTTTTCACAGTAACAGATTTATGATAGATAAAGATTTTTTTCAGACCCACAGTGTTCAGCTGTCTTTTCACAGAGGAAGAATGGACAAAAACACCTGTGGATTTTTTCAGATCTGAAGCAAGACTGGAGCTTGATTTTCTCCTCTTTCTCAAAGCTTCAAGAATTGTTTGTCTGATGAAAATTTGGGTGGCCTGTCAGCCCTTGCACTGTCCCATTTTCTCTACATCTTTCAAACAATGTTTGAACTCCTTTTTAGAAAACTATGTGCATGTGCAGAAATATAAAAAAAATAAATAAAACGTGTACTTAAAGGCCATTTTGATTCAATTTGCACGCAATGTTTTTTAAAAACCGGACTAAGAAATGCATGACTCTCTACACATTGTGCCATGCTTAGCAAAAACTGCTAGCTTGTTTTTCCTTGCTCTGTAGCGCTCTTGATTTCTGCATAGGCTGTGTGCCAGGTGGCTTCTAGAGGCGAGCACTTCGCCTTGCTTGTCCTCTCCGTCATTACGAAATAACAGTTTAAACTAATGGCCAGAGAGCACTGTTTCCGCTGGACCACAGGAACACAGAGATCTAGCCCCACAGGGTGTGTGTGTACACTGCAGCATTGTAGGGCGTGTGTGCGCATATCACAGCACTCCAGTGCGTGTGTTTATAGGACACTGCGGTGGGCTTATACAGGATATTTGGATGTGTGCCAGCAGGTCAGAGGTGGTGGCCCACAGATCTTGAAGAGGAAGGAACGGGACAGGAGGCGTTATGCCGAGATTACAACCATCTGCTGCATGCTAGCACACCAGTCAAAAACCCTGCTGTCTCACACACTAGAAGTAAGAAGTTAAACCTTCTCTTTAAAGCAACTGGGCCCCACACACAGCATCAAAATCAAACAGGAGACCAAGGGGTGCCGGGTACTTGGCAGGACTGTTGCCATGGTTACCTCCACTGGTGCGGGCAGCAGGCGCTCTGCGAGAAAAGCTCTTGACGGCTAGGCTCTGTCCTCGCTGTTTCCGCCTCCATGCTGTGCGGCACTTCGAATCAATGCTCTGCTTGATGCGGTACCAGTCAGACTCTGTGATCGTGAACTTGTGAAACAGATGACCTATACACACATGGGGCAAAAACATTCATGAGTTCTCCCATTAAAGTAGTATTTTACTTTTAGAACTTGCTCTTGGTTACTGACACTGTATCAAGGCTCCAGACTAATGCTATCCCATCATCCCAGGACGATGTTTAAACTACTTTGGGGAGCTTCAGGGATGATTAACTTGTCTGTGTCAACACTCAATGTCTGTAAAATATACAAGCATAAAATCGTGAGTATGCCAGCCATTTATACCCAGCCTAAAAATGCAATGTTTAATCTAGAAACTGTTTTTAATTTGCTTTATAAGTAGCACTCTTTCTACTGCTAGCATAATGCTAATTTCCATTAGCCCATATAGGGGAATTCCCATGTAATATTAGCATCAAGCTAACAAGTGTGTCTCATTCTTTTAACAGGTTCTCTCTCTAACATGGACAACTAAAGCTTTGTTTTTTGTTTACAGTCTCTCTGTAATCTAGTTCTGTTCAGTGATTAGCCTACGATGTCAAATAGTGCCAAAGCATTGTATCCTTTCATACCCAAATTATGTTCCAGGGCACAAAAATATGATCTTGCTCTATTCTTATTCTAAAGCCAACAAAAATCATGATAAATGATATGGTAACAATAGGTTATAATAATGTTTACTAGCTATTTCTGACACCCATTACAATGCACGCCAGTTTAGAAGAGCAGCGCTATTCCAGTATTAACATGATAATTTTAAGAGTTATAAAAATAAACACAATCTGCACACAATGTAAATTTACAGTGATTTGCATTTCAGGAACACAGGGTAAAACATTGCATATTTTGTCACAGAGCTTTTAATACTCATATTCTCATATATGCACATTTGTATGCATATATGTTTATAGCATTGCGAGTGTATACATGTCCATGTATGTATGCTAAGCCTGTATTCTGTGTGTCGCTATCTGACATTTGTTGCTTTTGGGAATCCATAATATGTGAGTACAACCATATATATATATATATATATATATACATACATACATACATATCATATATATATATATATACAATAATATATATATATATACTGAACTAACTATCGCTTTAAACTGCCTAAAGACAAAGTGCATGAAGCCTATAATGTTACATTCATCATCATTCCAGTTGTAAACCTGTTTGCTGCAAATAAGACCTTAACTGCGCCAATCAACCTGTGAAGAGTAAACAGCAACCCTGTGTACCATGCTAACTGTAAGGGAGTGTGTTGCTGTAAACTGAGTCGGGTTTGTTTAGAGAGATTTCAGAGCTGAGGAAAAGGTCACACTAACGGGGCAGGCGCATGAATGGTCAAGCGGACAGAGGGCGGGAGGCATTGGGTGTGGGACTGCTTTGCACATTCAATAGCGCAATTGAGATAAAAGTGGCTATCGCCGCTATAATCTACAACATGACCATGTGCGTGTGTGCATGTCTTCAAGTACAGACAAGTACAACAGGTGCTCTATATGTAGCCTCAGCTTACCAGCTTCTTGCTGGTAAAGAAAATACTCTTCCTTGTTAAACCATCATGATTTTTACCTATTTAAAATAGCCTCTAGTAGTGAAATTAAGAGTAATTAATCATTAAACAGCAACTTCACTTGAGTGAACAGCACTACACTGAAGCATTTTGCCTGAAAGGTCATGGCTGAAGTGGTGCCTTAATAATGCTCTCGTCAATCATCATAGTCACCCATTGAAAATCATTAGAGCATTAGTTCTTGCATGGAACGTGAACTGAATGACCCACGTGCATGCCATTTAGGATTTCCTTTGGTATTCAGTCTGTTCCGTATCATTGAAGAAAATATGTAACGAAGAATGACTTTAACTTGTTTTAACCTGCCCTGGGAAAAAAGACAGAAGTTTCCTCTTGAGTTCATCATAATTTTGTACATAGGATGGGTCACCACCCATGTTAAAACGGGACCTCTGGGCTTTGCCTTTTCTATTAGAACAGACAGAGCACCATAGCTAGAAGATGCCAAAACATATCAGGTTAAGAAAAGGGCCTTCTACAAACAAAAACTGTATTCTATGATTCTTCAGAATGCTTTTTCTGCAGTCTCACGCACACAACAACTTTCCTCTAACAGTCTAAATTAGGGATGTTATATGACATTTCAGAGATAAACTCATGACATAGTTGTGGCCACATATTAACTTTTGTGAAGTTCACTGTTTCAAGTGATTAGACTAAAATGAAATCAGTGGAGTGCTTTGGGACTGACTCACAGCGGATGCCGTAGATCATGAGCGGGTCCAGCTGCTTCTTGCCATGCTTGCCCTGGCCGGATAGGTTGGAGACAGCCTGCACTTCACGGTGGAACAGGTAGTCCAGCAGCGTGAGGGCCATCTTCTCTGGTGTGCGACAGTTGCTGCTGATGTGCAACATGTCAGCCGCTGACACAGGGCAGCGCACACGCATTTCCGGATTATTCTCATCCCCCAGCCATGTTCCTGACGGGTAGTCTTCTGCAGACACGCATGTGAGAGAAGAGAGAAGGAAAGATTTATTCAGTTATGGATTAGATGGTTTTGTTTACTTTTCAACTAGTTTGTGTCTTTTGGATTACATGGTGTAATCGTAAGTCCTTTTTTCTGTTGTATAAAAACAGCAGTATTTCTGTTTACGTTATGTCTCGCTCTATTTATATATTTATTGAAAAAAATAAATAAATCTTGAAAGTGAGATCAAGAATTGGGTAAATATTCAGTGAGCAAGATGAGAGTGTATGCAGAAAAGAACCACTAAACCAATACAAAGTAGGGGACTGCTATGCACACCAGATGAGTGTGCATCTTTGAAGCAACAAGCCTGAGAAAAAACAGAATCTGTGTGTAAAACCTCATGCTCTCATAGACAGCAGATGTCTCTAGGTCTAAAAAATCTGCAGACTATGAAGGCGAAATACTTTTGAAAATAGGTGGGCAAGAAATAACCACTTTAACCCACCACTACTTGTCTTAACATAGTGTTCTCACTTGATACAAAACTGACCCCTGGTGGTCACTGTAAATACCTAAAAAGAGAAACGAGCTCAAACACAAAACATTTCCTGACATACTACACATTTTGAGAATAATATCAGAAGTTTCTTTCCACACGTTCAGTGACTACTATAACATTCTTATTAAATAAATGTATGACAGACAAAAAAAATAAAAGCATCACTACTTCTTTCAAATTGAAACGTGAACTTTGTTTAGGCTAGAAGTTGACTTGAGACGGACTTAATACTCAAAGGCCGTGCTCACTCTATTATATCATATTTGTTTAAACCGTCTATGATTTTATATTCAACACAAGTTTTACACAAACTTTTCTCTTTTAAACCATCTGTTAGAGCTCACCATACAGGTGTGGAGTGAAATTATCATAGCAGTGGGTGCAGCTTTTTTAGCATGTCCAGAAGAATATCAGGGAAAACCCCATAACAAAAACAGGTAATGTTGACAGAGACAAATACATAGGAGATGATGGGTTTGATCATGAGTAATATGTTCCAGACTGAGTTGACAGAGGGAGCTGAATGGAAAAAATCCTGTCAATAGCAGGCGCTATAAGATAGGATTGAAAATGACAAAACTGGAGAGAGGGAAAGACATGCAGAGAAAAACAAAAGGATTTAAAAGTCACATGCTGCCCTGCAGCAATTTGCTGACTAAAACAAACTGTCATTGAAATTTACAGCTCCAAATATGTGGATATATGCAGAGGAATCGTTTTGAGGCCACCCTCTGAACCACAACTCTGACAACAAATGAAACAAGCAAAGGCAGAGACTTTCTGATCAGAACCTGATCAAAGCCCACGGATCCTATATGGATCCTATAAGTCCTATATGGACAATTGTACTGCATTTATTCAAATTGTGGTCCTACAAAAAAAACTACACGAAAAAAATAATAAAGACTTTAAAAAATAATAATTTAAATATTCAAACCTATTTAAACCCAAGGCATTAACTGAGTTAATTAACTGAGTAATAATCTAAATACATACATTTGTTTCTCTGTAAGTGCTTGGGAACAGGCAGGCCAGTTTAGCACCCAGATTCTTACTACGGAGCCATGCTGCTGTTATATGTGCAGAATATGGTTTGGCAATGTCTCACTGAAATAAGCAAGGCCTTCCCTGAAAATGTCACCTGGATGGCTGTATATATTGCTACAATAACTTCATTTATCGTTCAGCATTAATGGTGCCTTCACAGGTGTGCAAATCACCCATGATGTGTACTGATGTACCATCACAAATGCTAGCTTTTGAACTGTGCACTATTAACAAGCTGGATGGTCCCTCTCCTCTTTAGCATCGTCATTTACGCAGCGTCATCAATTCCAAAAAGAATTTCAAATTTTGGTTTGGCGGAACACAAGACACTTTTCCACTTTGCCTCAGTCCATCTTAAATGAGCTCCGGTGGCAGAGTTACGACCTGCATTTGTGGATGCAGCGACAAACTGTGTTCACAGACAGTGGTTTTTTAGAAGCGCTCCTAAGTCTATGTAGTGATTTCCACAAGAGAATTGTGTCTGTTTTTAATGCAGTGCCGCCTGAGGGCCCGAAGATCGTAGCCAGCCAATAATGATCTTTTGCCTTGTCCCTTGCACACAGAGATTTCCCCGGATTCTTTGAATCTTTAATGATATTATGTACCACAGATGATGAAATCCCCAAGTTCTTTGCCATTTTACAATTGAGAAATGTTATTCTTGAATTGTCCCACTATATGCCCGGGCAGACTTTTACAGAGCGGTGGACCCCTCCACATCTTTACTTCTGAAAGACTCAGACTCTCTGACATGCTCTTTTCATGCCCAATCATGTTCCTGACCTGTTGCCAGTTAACCTTGTTAGTTGTCAGATGTTCCCCCAGGTGCCTTTTTTAACATTACTCAAGTTTATGAGTATTTTGTTGCCCCTGTCCCAACTTTTTTGAAACGTGTTGCTGGCATTAAATTGGGCCAATTTCAATTAAATATTCTGTTTAAATGATTTGCAGATTATTGCATTGCTTTTTTATTTACATTTCGCACAGGGCCTTAACTTTTTTTTCATACAAAATCATCATTTACAAGGTACTTTCTGTTGGAAGCTGGCTGTCACAAATGTCAACCCCTGATATTTAATTTCTGGAAATGATAAAATTTAAGTGGTCTCTCACCTTCTGAGTTGAGAGTGATGAGTGTGACGTTGTTGGTGTTTTGGCCTGAGGATTGGCCGCTGTTGGACACAGAGTCGCTGGCCTCTGAGCCACTGTCCTGTTCTTCCTGGCTCTGTTCTGGCCCCGGGACCTTCAGCACGATTGTTTTTTGCCTTCCTCTGCCTACCGTGCTGCCAGCCGAACAGTCAACTGTTAATGGCTCACAGTCACTAGCATAAGACTTTTTGGCTTCAAACTCAAAAGGCTGACATCCGTGTAAATCAAGAGTTCTGGGCACAATCAGAAATACACATAGCATCTGTTAAAAAAAAAACAAAAAACTGAAGCCACAGAATCTGGGAGTAGCTGGCAAATTAATGTAATTGTGCATCCTGTGTGTTCACAACTACACTTAAAGACTAAAAACAATTAAAAACTATCTTAACACAGTTTTCACAGAACTTTTCACAGAACTGAGACATACGCAGAACTCACTTGCTGAGTAGGTTCTCCAGAGAGTCTGTTGCGCGGGGTATTGTCTCTTCCTGGCCAGCTTTAGAGCGTTCACTACTCACCACCACATTGGTCTGTGGCACCATACTGAGAACACGCAACAATCCGGAATCAGTTAATGACATTAGAACCAGCATGACATGAAACTAGTAACATCTTTTTAGGTTCATTTTGAGTGAGTCAGTTGGTAAATGTGCCCATGCTTGACTCAGCAGAACACAAGAAAATGTTTATGGGAAGGAAAAACAGACTAGCGTAAGTGCCATAATAAACTGTCTCCTGTTACACTCACCAGCGAACTTTGTCACAGGTTTGTGTTGCACCGAAAGGAGATCCAGCCACCATCGGGACCTGGATAGGCCCATGGTTTTTGCCCATTACTGTGTCAAGCTTCTCTTCTAGAGCTCGACATGTAGCCTCCAGTACCTGCAGTTTGGTCTCCATGCTGTCCAGCCTCTGGCAGATGGCCTGGCTGATGGACACCAGCATCGTCTAGAGAGAGACAGATAGATAGGTAGATGGATAGATGGATGGATGGATGGATGGATAGATACATAGACAGATAGATAGACAGATAGATAGATAGATAGATAGATAGATAGATAGACACTTTATTGATCCCGAAGGAAATTTAGCAGTGCCAGAGAGATAAATATGTAAAAAAAAAAATAAATCATCAAAACAAAACAAGTATCATGTTACTAAACCTAGTAATAAACAGAGAGACTCCAGCATTGTTCTCACCTTAAGAGTTGCATCCTGATTACTGCTTTCCATCCTCGCCCGCTTCCGCTCAGGCTTATCGGCCTCCTCATGGTTCTCCAGCACGTCTAAACCAATCCCAGCATCCCCACACAGAGAACATGTTTTACATAGCAAATGCGCACACACCATCATTAATGAAGTTTTTCAAATAAATCTCATAATGCATTAAATAAAGTGCTGAGGAAACAGACAACAAACTCTGAGTAACAAACTCTGAGTAAGAAAAACATAAAAAAAAGGAATTACCCTTAGGGCATATAATCATTACATCAAAAACTAGGTTAATAAAAATGGAAAATTATTAAAATAGTAACAATATTTACAAAATTAATTACTACAGAAAAAATACTGCTTTAATCTTGGAATACTGCAATCTATCAAATGGGCAGGAGTTCACAAAAGCATCTTAGTGTTAAGAACATCTTTACTGTCAGACAGTGTTGAGTGTGATGCTCGTTCTACCATTTAGGAATCATCTTTTTACTATCAGGCTTCCAGAAAAGCCAGCCCAGATCACTGATCAATGCAAAGATAGAAAACATAATCCAGGATCTGAAAATCCATTTTTGTTAACAGTTCATTATCTCACTCAGAAGGTTCAGTTAAAAACAAAAAAGTGTGCACGTGGGTGGACAAAAGTACTCAGCAGCAGTCCTCGAGACAACATCTGGCAGCCTCAAATGGATGAAGCTTTCAACGCTGACCAAGCCTGCTGAGCAATTTCCCACACAATATTTATAAATATTACACACGCTAGAGGCAGTTTAAATCATCTCTTACCTCCGTCATGATCCTCATGATTTAAGTCTGCTACAGCTATTTGGACTATCTCCACTAGATCCTGCTCTGACATCATTCAAGCCTGAGAAGCAGGAAAATGAGAAGTAATTGTGTATGACTGCTGCCCAACATAATAATTTAAGGACAAATTATCTCTGTAAAACTGTGCAGCTGTGAACTCTAGGCCATGCTAGTATAGGCTGGCATGCAAACGGGTAACTAAATGAATGCACTGTGATTTTTTTTAAGTGATCAATTCTGATCAATACTGTTTACAATTAAAAATACTCTCAAAGTGCAGTTTCAAAGTGCAACAAGAAAACAGGAACTGCTTAAATTTGCATACTTTGTTACTTACAACTGTCAGGTGTATATATTTATCATAGAAAATTCAAGCTACTTTGGAGACAGCAGAGCCCCTTCGGTAAACTCCCAAACTGATCATAATTAATTTTTATATGACCATTTTCCAACCTGTCTTTATCCCTTAGAATTAAATGGGCTGTTTTAGTTACTGTGCCTTTAAAACTGGGAGATGTAAATGAGCTGTTTCTGATTGGCTGCCTCCTATTGTGCCTCCCTAAAAAAAGCTGTCCAAGCAGAAACACTCCTTAAAACGTAAGTGGGTGGAGCTAAACTGCTGTAGGCCGAATAGATGGATTTATGACATCACAAAAACACATGAATTGAAACTATGGACTGTGTAGACCAGGCAGTGAACGGTGCGTTTGGAAACCTTACCAGTGTTCACACACTTTATTCAACTCTTAGTTGTTGTTTTCTATGGTACAGGCCCTTTGATGATATGTATTATAATAATAATATTTCTACAGGATTAAGGGTAGTGACTAAACTGAGGTGAATTCACAACACATGATGTAGAACTGTAAAAGGTTATTTTGCATCTCACACAAGTTGCACTTGCACTCAAACTGCATCCTTTTTTATTATTCTGTGACAACGCATAGAGTACAGATTTAATCATATACTACACTACAACTGGAGCATTACATTTTTAGGTATTTCATTCAGCACTGCAAGAAAAGGATTTGATTACAACTTCGTAAACACGAGTCCGCCGCAGCTCCATTCAACCTTCATGGACACATTTAACATTTATTTGTTTTCTGACTACTTAACTTATATGAAACGTATTTTGCACTGTGCTGTATTAGAACAGCTCTTTTATACGTATCCGCAACACACGTCTTTTGTACATTTGAAATGTACATTCTGTACATTTGAACAGTACTGATGTTGTTGAACGTTGTTTTCACTGTATTTGATGAACGACCAGCAGAGGCAAATACAAGACTCTGGGAGCCGCAGTGTGGGGAGGCTCGATAGGTACCTGCTGATAAGACTGCAGGCTCAGTGTAAATAACGGTCTGCATAAGGTTCACAAAGCTAACTATTATTTATCTTACTCTCAAAAGCCAGTTAAGGCGTAACTAATGTTAGCGGTAGCAAGGTCACACGCTGTGCTTTGCTTTCCCTGAGCTAACCTTAACGCTATGCTAGCTAGTCAGCTAGCTAGCTAGCTAGCTACGTCCTTCCTCTTATCAATGTTTTACTCCTAAACGTCGTGGCTAGCAACACTGGTAGCCGGTTAAACATAACAGAAGACGTTTAAATCATCACCGTGGGGTCTGTGCCCCATAATAACCCCGAAACCCCTGAAGACGACACCCCGCTAGCTAATCTCGCTAATAAACACAGCTAGCCTAGCGCCTGCTAACTTGCACCAATGTGCAACAATATCGAAAGAGAGCAAGGAAACAGGTCCGGGCCTTGTAGCTACAGCCTTAGTGGACCCCGGCACAACACGTATAAGGGACAAAAGAAAGCAGCAGAAATGAGCATTTCCTTCCATGAAAAGCGTTAAATACGCGAACAGCACGGAGCCGACCGCTGCACTGGCGGTGTGCCGCGCCACGGCGGGTTATATTACCGTGTGAAGGATGAATTCTCGTGTTGTTTGTAGGGATTCCGATAATGGCGTCCTTCCTCGCGAGAGATGAAGGCTTCACAACTCTCCGCTTTTCCTCTGCGCTCCTGCGTCGCACAGGACAAACCGGGCATTGCAGCCTTACAAGCCTTAGTAGCAAAACGCTCACTCCTGCTTTACTTCATAGCCAACTTATTCACTCTGGCACTCTTAGGACCAAAATTCATTCATATACTCTTAGAATCAAACTGCATGGAGGTGTTAAGCGGTTTCGAATAAATGGAAAAAAAAACTTAGATCATATTCCTCTTATCCCAAATGTACTTGATGAGACGATATACTTGCATTACCTGTTTCTTTGGTTTTGCATTGAAGCTGTAAGGCTAAATCTGTGACATAAACAGATTTTTGACTTAAGACCTCAATACTTTTAGTAGGACTGCACCAATATGGAAATTGTGTGCCAGTGCTGATGTCTGATATACCTTATGTACATATCTGCTGATGTCAATATGATATAAAAACTTTTATAGAACATATAAATTGGGACTGCATCTGGATTAGCATTACACAGAAATATAACTTTTACTCTTTCTCTTTCTGTAGGGTTACATTTGCAGTAAAATTAATAAAATACAGATATTTTATCTTAGCAGCCCAGCATCGCTCAAACATTCAGTTCAAAAATATCAGTTCAAAATATCAGTCAAATCTAAACATCTGTCCAATGCTGATTTTTTATTTTTTTTAAAGCAAGTATCTGCTGGTATCAATATGATTCTGATAACATTTGTGCATCCCTACTTTGTAGTGACATTACCTTCGTGGCCCAAATGCAAAACTAAAGAAGCAAACTTCAGACACCAAACATGCATTTGCCAATGGACTATATTTTGGGTTAGACCAAATATGGCTACTTTGGATTTTTCAGTTGGGTATTCAGGTAATCTGGAAGAGAGTCTGCCGCTCTTTCAAAGGGCTTCACCAATAAGGACCTTTTTGGAATGAGTGGTGAAACATCTTCAAGAAGAGCAGTGCTCCATAGACCTGTTAATGAAGGTTTTCAGTCTTGAAGTTACTGAATGGTCTAGCAGCAGTAGCGGGATAATCTTGAGAAAGCCTGAAAGGGGGTAGTGAAATGTCTTCAAGGTTATATTTCAAGTCCAGTAGCCTTTGCTGACTCCTACTATAAATCAGAACTCATGGAAACATTGCAGTGATTGGTCCATGCTAAATAACAACATTAAAAGATAAAAAAGAGAAACATAGTATGTTGATTTGCTCTTTATTGTCTATCAGTTATTAATGTCACTTAAACAGCTTTTGATCTGGGTCGGCTTGCACAAAGAGGAATTCCTCGACAGGAGCATTTGATCCAGACGTCCAGCAGCTGTCTCTGCAGGTGTAGACCAGAACTGTTCCAAACTCCAATACAAGCTCTGAAAAAGTACAGAAAGAGATAAGCACCAGATGCTATATATCTATCTATTCATTTATTTATTTATTTGACTTTAATCTACTGTGCTTTGCATCACAATGTTTAATTATCCTGGAAAAGGAATAAAGTTGTAGTAAAACCTTTATAATACATATTTATATTACATAAATTACACACTTATCTACTAAAACCGCAAACAAAAACTGTAATCCATTTCAAGAAACAAGTAAAAGTAGCAAAACTAATTCTGATATGAAAAATATACTGCAATAGACAATGTGTAGTGTTTAAAAACCCTGACAGAAAATACCGTAATCTAAAGATTTACCAAAAAATTTCCAAAATTCAGACAAACCTGAACTTAAGTCTGTACTGTGGAGCAAGCTGACGAGTGCGGGCATAAGCTGAAATTCAAAAACTCTCGGACTGCCACACTGTGCACAGGTTGGCACCATCTGATTTACGTTTGAAGGAGGTTCAGCTAAAAATAACGGTGACCCACTCCAACTGTATCTGCAAGGCACAAGAATAATGCATAAAACATTATATCCACAATAATGAGCTACAAGAATGTTAAATCAATTTAGTGCTAATTGCTATCCCAAAGCTCTGTAGTGCTAATACCTTGACCGAAGGATACAGGCATTTCAATGCTCTGGTCTGGAAATCATTATTCTCCTACACTGTCTTTCATGCATAAACACTATCACAGAATTGTCCAATATAACTGTTTATTAGGTGCTGGCTTGCTTTTTTGCACCCTCATGGAGTCTGCGGGGAACTAAGACCTTAAAGTATCAGTGATCCAACTCATACAAAAAGCCGTACCATAGGCCAAATGGACTATGTTTTCAGAACTTAAAATGTATTCAACACAAATATGAGAATTCGGGCAGAGTATCAGGATAATCAGTAACACTAATATCTATCTAGCACCAGACAGAAGTTAGAACTTTTGTTGTTTTTGTAAGATCTTATTAAATGCATAAATTCTGCTATCTACTATTTATCTTCATTTGCCTCGGCCCAACTGATGAAAACACACCCAATTCAGGTTCTGTTAGTTGTGAAGCAAACATATGATTGTGAAAGCTAACAACTGTGGAAAATAATAGCAATTGGTTCAAATAACTGCGATCAGGCGATTATGTAATAACTGTGACTGGCCTATCCAGAACCATCTGGCTCCTCAGATGATGTATGTGACAGCTTTCTGAATTTCTTTGAGGCTAAAGTGGTAAGTATTGAATCAAATGTACTCTTGACATAAAACATATGTTTAGCTTTGTTACACTAACAGTACCGTGTAGTCTACTCACCGAAGAACTTGTTCTGGACAGAGAGAGATTCTTTTCATGAAACTTGAGAAGACTGCATCTCCATGTTTGGCTTCTGCTTTCTCATACTTCTCCTCGGCCCCTTCACCTTCACAACTGAACAACACAATCATAACAGAAAAAAAAAAATCATATACAAGATGAGTTGTTCCTATCTTGACAAAGACAAAATGTGACCATGACACCATAAGTGAAATAGATTATGACTAGTATCCAAACAACATTTTGTATCAAAGCAAGCAGTTTAACATACAACATTATTCTATATATTTTTCTCTTTACTCATTTCATGAACCCCTGCTGGAAAACAGACTCTCATTCCAAAGTCAGATACATTTTGCACCATTCTATCATTTATTTAGTATATAGACTTTTCTTGTCAGTGTACCTCATAGTGCATAATCATGCTATTCTTACTCTTGTGTACTTGTATCTTACAATAAATCTAAAAGAGCTGAACATTTTCTGATGATTCAGCTCAATGCAGATCCTGCAGCTTGGCTAAAGGAAATTCACAAACGTCATAACACACTAAACACCTCTAGACTTCATATTTATGTCTCTCTGATTGATGCATTTTCCATAAACATAATTTTTACTAATTGTGTACTTAATCTTTATAATAATTTATGATGATTTCTCACTCACAGCCATCAACACCATTGGCCTGTGCTTTTACTTCACCTGCTTGAAATTACCTCTTCACTTGAAATGATCTGGCAGACAATGGCCCAGCGGTGAATTGGGAGCATATGTTTTTAGGATATCAAGACATTTCAATTAGCTCTTCACTTTGATTTAATTGGCAGAGATCACACAGGAGGCAAACTGTGAACAGATGTGGTAAGAAGAGCCAGGCAGCATTGCTGTGTTTACTTGTGAATAGGCGATCGCTACAACGACAACTTGAATTTTATTCATAAACTTTTGACGGGAAGTAGACAATAAGCTCAAAATAATTCTTTTTAATGAGTGCATTAGTTGCACTCCTTAAAAAAGTTTGTCCGAAAATTTGTCCGTATGCTTATATAAGGACACATCAATGTAGGTTGGCTTGATTGCTGATAGTTGCATATTTGTATATAGCTGCTTAGGCCACCAACTTTCTACCTCTACAGTCAAAAAAAACATCCATATTTTTCATTAGTGTTCACTCTCTATTAACAGCTTGATCTCCAGTAAAATAAACTATTAGAATAAAAAAAAAAAAAAACAAAGTTATCCTCACATTCCAATCTCCCCAACAGCCACTCCCTCTCTCTCCTCATATTCCCTCAACAGTCTATTGGCATGTTGCAGGTCGTCATGGCCCACGAAGTCTGTCTCCTCCACAACACTGATGTAAAAGGGCTGAAAAGTGGGCACAGCAGTGGGATGTACAGCACCTCCATGGTCCCCTGGCCCATTTAAACAAAGGCCTTGAAGCCTACTGCTGACATCCAGTCCAGCTGTAAGGCTGTCCATCACTGGCTGGGCTGTGTCTGTATGAGCCTGTGACCTGCTCTCAGGTTCACTGTCCTCAGCCTCCATCCCCCAGTCATCAGCTTCAGCGCACCAGTCCGTTGTGGACATTGCAGCTTGTTTTACTTGTAAACTATTCGTATCCTGGTGCGCTAAAGGTTGTTTCATCTCTGATTCCAAGAACTGTGAACGCAGAGCCTTCCAGCTAGACACAGGAGAAGCCAACAGGATGAATATTGTGAAACAGCGTGAATAAAATGAACTGATGTGCCAATGAATTTGGAAACTATTATTTACCTTTCTGGCTTGCCACTACACTGTGGATTAGGGCAGGCAAACACATTAATGGTGCGGTGATATGGAGATGCCGCAAGGGGGCAGTAGATCTGCACAACATGACCGAGGATCCCATCACATACAGTGCATTGGTTATATGCATCAGATATACCAGGAATCAGGTCCTACAATCATAAAAAAGAAAATGCATTCGAGAAGACATAATTGAAAAGATATTCTTTGTGGTACCTTAATACCGTGACTTTTTTTTTATAGCTCACGCGCTTCATGACCTAGTGACACTAAGCTGAGTCCTTGTTTTACATATTGTGCTGCGTCCTTGATTTGTTTTATATATCACAGTCTGTCCTATGGCCCCTACTTAAAACTAGGTATTCCACCTGACTATACAGTATTTAACTTTTTGTCTTGTAGATACATTTACTAATTTTAGACATTTCTATTAGTATCATTATTATAGTATTTTTTATTTATTTATTTTTTTTGTGAGAACTCTTTGAGAGCTCTTATGAGAGCTCTATGTTAAAATGTACTTATAAACGAACGGCTAACAAACGACTCCGGCTCCGGTTCTGATTCTGAAGTTTCTGGGAGCGGAAAAAGTGACGTTACTTCTGTTTTTAAAAGACTCGAAAAGTTTCGAGCCAGCCAGGAGTCGAACCTAGAATCTTCTGATCCGTAGTCAGACGCGTTATCCATTGCGCCACTGGCCCGATACGGACTTCCACTTTCGCCCATTCTATAAATGGCAAATTACTGTATTAATTTTTTACTTTAAACTTTTATTTGAGTGTCCTGGGACCAACTGGACTCGCAAAACTAGCTATGTTCTCAAGGGTTATCTAGCTCCCTAACGTTAATCCCCTGTTTAGATAGCTAACTATCTGGCTAACCAAGCTAAGCTAAGCTAGCTGTCCAGCTAGCTACTAGTCAGCAACAACCGGTTATTAGCTTGTTCGGCTACACTGTAATATCTCCAATCAATCAAATAGCGTCAGTCATCACCTCTGTTACTGAGGTAAACAGGCAGTTTACCGTCTGTTAGCTACGTAAAGTTCAGCCAACAACCATGAAATGTGTAGCTAACTAGCTAGCTAGCACGTAGACGGCTCAAATAGCATGTAGCACTGTTTTAAACTCTTGACAATACAGCTGGATGAGAACATGTTCCTCTTACCGGTTTACCTCCAATTTTATTAGTGTAATAAAACGTGCCTTTCTTCTTCTCAATGGGGCCGTCAGAGAGTCCTATGAGTGGGGATTCCTGCATTGTTGCCCCCAGCAGTGAGCTAATGTTGAAACCACGTGTGACAAACTCTCAGACTTTAAGCCGAGTAACTTACAGAGACAGATACATGTAAGTTAGCTAACTGGCTGCAAACAAAAGATAACACTTTCTGGACGTATTGACTGATTAGAGTGAACAAACACCAAGTATAAAGTATGAACAGCCAACGATGGTCTGACAAAACGATGTTGCCATTTCGTACTCAGACTCGGCTGTTTGGGTGTGTATTTAACGTTATATTGGGAATATAAAGCGCCCTTCACCATTTTCAGATGACACGCATTTTATGCATCACAATTACGAGATGTCAGAGCCACAAACGGGCGATTCTGCCAGCTGTTTAGGTGTAAAGCTCATTGATGAAGGTGTATAAGTCCTGCCAACGGATTTCAAATGGGCTCATGGTCCCACTGTGATGGGACAATTCTGAATGAAACGGATGTTTTCATTTTAACCCTTACGTTACTCAGCTGCTTCCTGATTCTACTCCTGACACCTGCCCTGCAAAGTTTGAACTATTATTCCGTGCGCTCCTGATCAAACTCATCAATTATTACCAAGCCCCAGCTGTGCCAGGCAGTGGGATCCCTCTGGGGAATCAACAAACACAGTAGAGATTCATCTGTTCTATATGTTAGTTTTAATTTATTATATTTTATTTGCATATAAATAGTAATGATATAATGAAACTATATTTTAGTTTGTTCTCTTTACCCCTATAGCTCTTGTGTCACTGTGTTCAGCACTTTGAATTACGGTTACTTGTATGAAATATGCTATATAATTAAACATTTGACTGATGCTGCCTTTTCTTAATTATTAATCAGTGTCACTGCAGCAGAGGCAGGATTCGATCCTCGCTCGAACAGACGACGTACCACGAGCTGGTACTATTAACAGCCAATCAAATCACAGCTCATACCACAAATCTACCAAGAATGGGAGCCTCGAGCCAATCACATCGCAGATTCCTATCAAGATTTGACCAATCAGCTGGCTCAGCGATTAGAGGCTGGTTGCTGGAAGAGGGGCGTTTAAATTTGTATATAGTGATGATAAAAGTTACATTTACCTCGGAGATCAACACGAACGAGCAAGCACGTAATTCTTGGCAGCGTTAACCAATCAAATCACGGCCCTCCACCGTGAATCTACAAAGAATGGAAACCTCGCGCCAATCACAGCGCAGATCCCTACCAAGATCTGACCAATCAGCTTTTTTACCAATCGGATTAATTTTCTGTTCTATTCTTAGATTTGTTGGTGTTGGTGTGACACTTGCTAGCTCAGTCCTCTGTGGTGACCTGGCTTCACAGCTTCTCACATTCACTTTAGTCTGTCAGTTTTTTTTTCTTTTTTACTTGATAATCTTGTTTGAATCATATGGTGCTGACCAGCTAGCAGGAATTAGAATTAGTTTTATCTTATACTTTATTTGTTAGTCTGTAAGGTTATCCAGGTTGTGGCAGTAATGCTCAGTCACAATGCTACATTCCTAATTAGTAGGCTAGCAACATTAGTAGGTTAGTAACCTCATTTGGTGTTTATGAAGAGAATTTTTCCTGGTTCTGTGATGTTTATAAATTGAAGAACTGCTGGCTAGCTTTTCTGTTCCATGCTTCCTTCTAACAAGTCATTTTGTGGCTAATTCATGAGGTGTTCTGATGTGTATGTTGAGGTAAATTAATGCTAAACTAAATTAAAGATCTATTTGGTGCTAAATGAGTGCTCACAGAAATTATATCAGGTAATTCTGACAGAAAGCAAGCAAAATCCTAAAACTGAATCCATCCTTAATGATAAAATAGGTTTAATTCAGTTACAGAAAACATTTTTCCTTGTGTGCTGGAGACAAACATCAAATACTTAATATGTGCATTGAATTCTTTACTTGCATTTTGTTTCCTACAGATTTCAACAGTGTACCACAGTATAAATGCAATACAATAAGCAGTAACTAAACTGGATTAAACACAAGATAGGGCAACATTAACTACATACATACAGTACACAGTGCCCACAATAAACATATTTCACTGCGTCAAATAACATAGTCAGTAAAGTGAGTGTCTATTCAGATTAAGGTAATACTGTATATGCAATGTTATAATAAAATGTGTAATAGGGCAGTATAGCACATTGTAGCAGTGCACTTATTAGCAAGTTGTGTTCATTCAAGTCCTAAATAAGGGAAACATGTATTTACAAAGGCAAAACTACTGTTTTTGAGCTTCCTTTCATTTTTTGTGTCTCCTTGTTCTTTTGTTGTAAGCCCATATGATATCAATTGTCCACATATGCATAAGAAAACAGTTTCTAAAACTAACCGAACTAACTCCTGAAGTCTGAGTCAAAGCAAGGCTCAGATAGTTTCTGGTTACACAGTGTCATGACTAACAAACAATATTTACACAGAACTGGTTTCTATCCTTACTTCCACCTCAAATGCAAATATATTTGTATGCTCTTTTTGTCAACACCCTTGTACACTGTTAAAGTGAAGACACTGACAAATGATAGAGGCTGCATTATATAAGTCCACCATCTTTAGCACTTGGAAGACTTCCTCTTAGAGCTGTATTTTTTTTTACTGTATTTGTCACCTTATCTGTACTGACTTTTTTCCCGAAAGGTTCCACCTCACATACCTTGAACTATTTCTGTTCCTTTAAGGCACACTGTGTGAAGATGAGGTGTGGCAGGTAACTGTGCAAGAGAGTTTGGTGCACTGTGAGGAAAGCTGCCTCCATGGCCAGCTTATGTTTCTCCACTTTCTTCAGCGTGCACAAAGTGGCACGAAGACTGAGGCCTACAGAATAAACAACCTTGATGGAATTAAAGGAATGAAAAGGAAATATAGGCTTAAGTGAGACAGTATTAAAAGGTATGTATAAATTGTATATATTGTTGATAAATTAAATACACCCTCTAAACAAATACATGACTGAGCAAATCCTACAGATCATTGTAACGAGCTTAAAGAAGAATTGCACCAGTTACAAAAACTTAAATCAATGTCCCAGACATGTATATTTGTAACCATTTTGCACAATGACTTCTGTGAGGTAGTTTTCAAAGACATTCAGAGTTTTCAAAATTTCTGCATAATTCACTTGTTGAGAGCAAGTCATTCAGAGAGGTTTGATGTGAAATAGGTAGTTGTAGATACACTTACTGACTCAGATTTGTTTACAGTGGTGGTGATAGGAACCAGGGGGTGTCTAGAACGTGAATATAGCTTTTATATATATATATATATATATATATATATATATATATATATATATATATATATATATATATATATATACATATAGTTTTATATATGCAAAGTAACCCGAATTTTCTTCAGCGGCTGTTTTGCCTTACAACACCCTGCATGTACTTCTCTGCCGATATATTTCAAAAACGTATCTATAAACTATCGTGAAACAATGTTTTAGGCATCAGACAGCATATTTCTAACCATTTCATGCAATAGCTTTCTGTGAGGTAGTTTTAAGAGGCTTTAAGTGTTCCAGATATCTGGTTCCTATCACTGCTGTGAACTATTCCAAATCAATTAGTTTCTCTGGAACAGAGCATTTCACTTCAGACAACTCTGAATGACTGTTTACACCTTAACCATTTAATCTAGGTGGAATTTCGAAAAATTGGTGGAATTTCCCTTTTTTAAATTTTAGATGTCCAGTTCCTATTACCTCCACTGTGATCAATTATGATTCACCAAGTTTCTCTTCTCTTCTCTTCTCTTCTCTTCTCTTCTCTTCTCTTCTCTTCTCTTCTCATCCAACCACTCTGAATGACTTTGTTTACATCTTAACTATTTAATTATAAATTTTGACATAAAGGTGGAGTTCCTCTTTAAGTCTCCTTGCAAAACAGAGGGCTAAAATAAGAAAAAATGGTGACAGCACAGACAAGCTAAAAGCCTTTGTTTCATCTCTGACTTGATTGGCCTTTGCTTTGGGAAGTAACTTCCTTCCCCTCTCCATTAGCTGTTGTGTAGTGTAAAATCTTTGTAACACAATAGGAGCACAGTGTTTTAACCGGGGGGCTAGGACCACAACTGAAGACTGCTACTAAAGTACGATTCTGCAACAGTGAGTGTTATAATGATGTGAAGTCTTGGAGTTGCTATATACACATATAATTTCATTTTCTTGTAACTGTAAGCTTTAGCGTGTTGGGAACATTCACAGTGAGTTCTCGTATTTTGTTTCTTTTTGCATCAGTTGACTGAAACAGCTCTGATATGCAATGTCAAGGCAACAGATATCTACTCTGTAACACTATGTACCAAGTTTGAAGTTCCCTTCATGGTTGTGTGTAAATGTAACATATTTGCAGTGATTTCTGTGTGTTTCTGTTCTATCTTCATAGCCCCGGTGCTCTGTTTAATAGGGACATGTTTCATAGTAAAAGAATGTTATCACCACAGAAGCACACCCTGTTTAATGGACTGTTGCAGCAGATGTCAACATTCTTTGCAGTTGTTTAACTATGGTGGTGGCTAAATATCCGCTCTTTGTCAAGTATTCTATATACCTGGTGCATTTAGGTCATGGAGTAAATGGAGGGTTTTTTTTTTAGCTCCCAGTGAATCTCATTACACACATGCTCACTCATTAGTCCTTTTTAATTATTGTTTCTCTTAATAAATGAACCTAAGGAATTTCATCCCTGTTCGAAGAAGTGTAGTTACTATTCTGTCCAGTAGAGAGTGATATTGAGCAACAGTTCTTTCCAGCTGCTAAACACAAGACTGCTTCTCTTTTTATATGTATTCGCAGTGAGCCTCTGACCATCTCAACGCATCAGCCATGGCATCCAATTCTACATTAAACCACACAAGCACTAACACTTCGATCACTGTAGCTTCAACTTCCATTGCTCTCACTGTCACCAAAGTAACTACCAGCCCCTCCAACTCCACCACTGCAGCTCCTGGCTTTTGGCCCTCTCTGCTAGACAAGATTCCATGTAAGTATCTACAACGCTTGCCCCCTTTGGCTCCCCGCCCCCCTGCCTGCCCTGTTCACCCCTTGCCCCAGGATGGAGTACTGCTGACACCTGTTCCATGCAGCGTATCTAATTCCACTCCCAGCGCACATTTCTTACCTCTCACTTTTCACTTGTTACAAGTTTATCTCTCTTTAATCCTGCTGGCTGTGCTCTTGCCTAATACTTCAGATGTGTGCCATAGTGCTGGCTACAGCTACACCAGCCTTGCCGGTCTGTTTCTACAATATTGGGGATAAACTTCTCTTTTTATACCCCCTCTCACAGTGCCAAGATGGGCCATCTATGCTATCATTGCCCTCATCCTCCTGGTGATATTAATTTGTGTGCTGTGCTGCTGTGTAAAGTGCTGCTGCAAAGGGAAAAAGAAGAAGAAAAAGAAGCCAGATCAGAAGATCAACCTGAAGGGGCTAAATGGAAGCACTACAACAGCACTGGTGAGATATTAGGCATTTTAACTCTGTGCAGATTCTCATTGGTGGACTTAAAGGTGGAGTCTTCTCTGACTGGATGACTAATGTGATTGACAGGTGCAGCCTGAGACAGAGGATGCAGAGTATGGATCAGTTGACGAGAGGAGAGGGAAACTACTTTATTCCCTAGAGTACAATACAGCACGCTCAGAGGTTCACTTTTAAGTCTACTTAATATGCGAATAAGTGTTTTTCCAAACTGGAACTGCAAAATGTATGAGTTGCAAGATACTGAATTAGTATTGTTAGATTTCACGTATTCCACATAATTCATTCATCCATTCATTCGTTCATTAATTCATTCATTCATTCATTTATTTATATTCAGGAACAGCTGTTCCATGTGTTGCTCTTGATGATCAATACAAATTTCACACCACATCCAGTTATTTACAATACAAAGGGTTTTGTTCCAAAATACATGACAGACCACTTTACAATTATTATTACTTTTTTTGTTCATGATATACATTGTTGGAAGAGGGCTTTTAGTGGGTAAGAAATATTAGTGCTATATTATGGTGAATATTACCTTTGTTAGAAAAAAAAAAAGTATTTTCTATTATACGTCCAAAATTGCTACAAATGCTATTGCATTTTGAAATTAAGCTCTTCATTTCTTAGTTAACATTTGATTGCTATGGCTGTCTTTTCTTTTAGATGACTGTTGGAATAAAGGAGGCTGCAGAGTTAAAGGCTATGGACCATGGAGGAACATCTGACCCTTATGTAAAAGTTTACATCCTACCCTACAAGTCCAAAACCTTTGAGACCAAAGTGTTCAGAAAAACTCTCAACCCAGTGTTCAATGAACACTTTAAATATCAGGTAAATTTAATAATTCTACAGCTCTTTATTGGCAGCAAAATGGCAGTGGGCCATAATGAATTTGTGATTGTTGTTGATTCCAATTTGATATTTTAGAGATTTTTTAGTTCCTAAACATGACCTTTAATTCTTCTTAAGATTCTTCTCATAGGTCATTTTTCTCATGGCTGTTCGTTCTGTGTTAAGATGAGTCAAAAGGAGCTCAGTGAGTCTACACTCGTGATGCAGGTCTACGATTTCAATAGATTCTCCAAGCATGATGTGATTGGTGAGCTGAGGCTTGAGCTTTCTGCTGTGGACTGGAACCATGTGATCGAGGAGTGGAAAGACCTGAGCGAGCCCTCAAAAAATGAGGTACAGATTTGACCTTCTTCTCTCAAGGATTTGGTTATATGAACTGTAAATATGTCATAGCCAACCCTCAAAGCCTCAGTTATAAGTTCAAGAGAGCAATACTGAACTGTCTTATAGTGCATTTATGCAGTAGTGATCACAGCAGCAAATGATTCCTAGTCAAACAAAATCAGTTAATATGAAGAAAATTAGGCCAAGGTTAAGCTTGTTATTTGAGTTCACCAACACTCATGAGTCACGACCAAGTCAAAGTGCACTTTTTAATATTGCAAGTTGTACCTTCACAGCAAGAGCATCTGGGAGAGATTTGTTTCTCTCTGCGATACGTTCCTACTGCAAGTAAGCTCACTGTAGTGATTCTAGAGGCAAAGAACTTGAAGGAAATGGACCATGGGGGATCTTCAGGTTAGTTATAAAGTCCTTTCCTTAAGTGGTAAATTGAGCCTGAATTGCCAGATTTTAGTTCAGTGATTATGATGAAATTAATCCATACACTTATGATTCAGATTTCTCATTCTGGTTTTGACCATGTTATAGACCCATATGTTAAAGTCCAGTTGATTCTGGATAAGAAGAAGTGGAAGAAAAGGAAGACAACAGTGAAGAAGCAGACACTGAATCCTTATTTCAATGAATCGTTTACCTTTGAGGTGTCCTTTGAACAAATTCAGGTGAGTCATATGTTTACTGTTTAGCACTCCAAATAAGCTAAGTTTAATCTTATATGTGACATTCTGGAAACTCCTATAGAGATCTCTCAATATTCAAAACATATCCTCAGCTTTATTGGACATAAATTGTACACACTTAGCCATTTCCATGCATTAAACTATAGGTGTCTTTTACATTGATTCTGTCTAAACAGAAAGTGCAGCTGGTAATCTCTGTGTGGGACCACGACAAAATGAGCAGGAATGACGCCATTGGGAAGATTTTCTTAGGCTGCGATGCTACGGGTAATCAGCTGCGCCACTGGGCGGACATGCTGTCAAACCCACGTAGGCCAATGGCTCAGTGGCATACACTGCTCTCAGCTGATCAGGTGGACTCAACACTGGCCTTAAGACGCACATTGAAAATTCCATTCATCAATAAGACTTTCTGAAAGTGCTGCACTACAGTACTGCGCTTCTCCAGTCTTCAGCTTGCTGAGCAGTGCTCTGTTGCCACTTTTTTAAAACTTGTTACAAATGTGCAATTTCTCTAATACATATCAGAAGCAGTCTTGTCTTGACTGCTTTTGACTAGTGTAAATTATCATGTAATTAACAAATAAGAAGGAACAAATAAGACTACGATTTTATAGAGTAAGAACAATCACTATAAAGAACATTTTTCAGTTTTATGAAATTGTGCACTCCAAGAGAGTGAACACTGACACACGGGTTAAAGTTTTAGACTATGTTATTCACTAAACCCTGAAATGTACATTCCAGGTTTTTGCATATATTAATACAGATGATGACTGGTTGATTGTCTTTTTGCTATTAAATAAATCCCTAACCTTGGTAAACAGAAATCCCACTTACATCTTACTTAAAACTTGTTCTGCCTCCATGTTACCTTCTAGTAGGTTCTACAGGAAAGACCACAGCATCAGCCTGGGGAATGTTCTCCAGTACACTATACATGTTGATTTCTCTGGTGGCAGTACACACACGCAAACAGATTTCTCTGGTGGCAATAATAGATTAGGGTCTGTATGCACAGTGTCAGCACACATCTGGTTTAATTAGGCCATTTTAATGAGATTTCAACTCCTCTGTGGCTGCACACAACTACAACATTGACGAAATTTCACACTGATTAATATAGAGTGAAGAATTTGTTGTTCTACATACGTGTTTGCTTACCATTGCTCACTTTAATAATACATTAAAGTGATGGTAAAAGCAATCATTTATTACTTTAGCTGACATTTTCTAAGCTCTGGAATTAAAACAGTTATGTGGAGCTGATAAAAGTTTGTTGACAAGCAAACTGTGTATTATTTTATGGAAAATAGGTCTTAATTAGGCCGTGTGTGTTGGTCGGGTACTATTTTTTTTTCTTTTTTGGAAGCCCTATCCCAATCTTAACATTTAAGCACTCTATTTTCTGAATGTGAGTCCAAAAGTATTTTTAGTGGAGATACATTAGTAACACACAGAACCTCCATATGTATTTGCTGACCATAAGAGAAACCATGAACGCCATAAAAACATTCTCAGCTGCACAGAAAAGGGTACCCTGTAGCATCAGAGCCATCCGGCAGGCGTGACCTTCAGGCCGTTTCTTATCCCTGCTGTGAACACTGCAGAGCTGTGATCCTCAGAGAGGGACAGCACTGATAAATGGACAGCTAAGAGGGCTACTGACAGGCTGACACAAGTCCAACTGAGCTGCCTATAGGGGCTGCAGACCAAATCAAAGCTTGGATGATCTAGGGAGTAACATATCCTTCCTGCGTGCAGTCTAGTCTAATATATTAGACTTTCAGCCGATCACTGAAGATGACTTCATTTATTCACATAGATGTAATCTCTCTGCTATATATGGAAAGTTTTTTTTCATTTTGCCCTTTTACAGATCTTTGTGTTTCAGCATGACCATAAATGGATGGAACACAGAGTGAGGAGTTTTTAATCTAATCTAATTTATCTCCCACACTAATTTATGAAGTAAATCTTATTTACATGCTGGTAATCACACTTGTCTGTTCAGAAAACTTGTGCGTGTGTGTGTGTGTGTGTGTGTGTGTGTGTGTGTGTGTGTGTGTGTGTTTGTCCACTGTCTTCATTGTGCTCAGGCCTATGAGAGTGGTGGTTTTAAGATATTCACATCTTGTCTGCAGCTGAATGCGAGAGAGCAAGGGAAAGCTCTTTGAAATGTAAATCATACAACCCACTGGTGTGGACCACATCTTCATCTTTATGATGCATCTGTAAGGGTCCATTAACGCTACGTCTACTTAACATCATATGCAGTTTGTGTTGTAACCTTTCTGTATTTAGCATTAATAAAATCTTCAAATCAAAAAGCATAGCCTGTGTGTCAACAGCTCAGTTTTAGTTTTAGTTTATGAAATTATTAGTTTAATTAAATTTCATTCTCTTATTTTGCAGAACCCATGAAGATGTATTTTAATGGTGCAATAATACAAATCTCCCATTTAAGGGCCTGTACATTTTTTTTTAATAAAAGAGTTTAATGTAATATATACACGTTGTTAAAGTTTAAAAATGTACTGTTCACTCCACAGTCCATATGGGAAGTAAACTGCAAGAACAGTCCGCTGTGAATTCACTGTTTTTGTAATGTCACAAAAACATCACATTCACATTTACCCACCTATTCAGCCTACAGAAGTTTAGGCTTGCTTGTTCATGATGAAGCTAAAAAGACTGTTTTAGCCTGGAGTGCTTTTTAAATGAGGCAATACAATCAGAACAGAGGTCATTTACATACATATTTTAAAAGGTCACTAATGTAAACAGCCTATTTAAACTGATTTTTTAAAAATTCTACATGATGAAATAGTTGAGATGTAAACAAAGTCATTCAGAGTGGTTTGGTGTGAAATGCTCTGTTCTAGAAAACCTACTGAGTCCGAACTGTTCACAGTGGTGGTGATAGCAACCAGCCGTCCACCTCTAAAAGATCCTTCACAGAAAGTTAATACATGAAATGGTTATGAATACACTGCCTAATAACATCACAAAACTGATGAGGCAGTTTTGTGATGAGGTTTTGGCTTAAAATTTAAATCAAATTTAATTTAATTCATTCATGGTGGAGGGGTACATGCAGGGTGCTGTAAGGCGAAACAGTCCCCAAAGAATTTTTTTTTTTCAGATTTATGGCTATTTTACCATCATCAACATTACATATAAAAACTCAGAAGACACGCATAGGTTCACTGCTGGTTTTGGATAGTAAATAAAATGGCTGTATTGATGTTGTAGACATTGTGACCCCTGGTTCCTGTCACCCTCACTGCAAAGAAATTTGAGTCTTTAAGTTTCTCTATAATAATCGTTTCACATCAAACCACTCTGAATGAATCTGTTTACATCTCAGCCACTGAATTATGCAGAACTTTTAAAAAATGGTGGAATTCCCCTTCAAAAGAAAAATAGCTAATTCTTAATAGTCAATAGTTATTCTTATAGTTAGAGAATATACTGTTAAAATGAATTATGATGCAGACAAATATGGACTTGAAGAAGAAATACAATACAAGCAAAATGCAGGATATGGTCCATTTACCTCCACGCATTGTAGGTTTACCCTGTGAGCAAATAAGTCAGAGGTAGGATGTGGACTGGAGGAGGCTTGAGCAGGTTATTGCTGGGGCAGAGTCACCACAGAGCAGAGCGTGACATCATCGTCAGGCAGGGTTTCCTGGAAACCCAGAGAGCGCTGAAGCAGTCCAATCAAACAGTGATAGGAGGCAGAGGGGCCTCAGAAGTGATTGCACTGTCTGATTGTCCCTAACGCAGATAACAAACAGTGCTAAGCTCCCTCAGCCACCTGACAGCTTTGGCCCACATCATCAGCAAGAAAGTAAATATCACCAGGTAAGTGAGCATCTGTGACCGTTTAGATTTGGAAAAAGATCGAAAACAACTGCATGTTTCTTTTTTGCTGGCTCCTTTTATAAGACATAGTTTTCAATTATGCTTTTTGATAAAAAAATAAATAAATGTAAAGAAAAATAGCAATAAAAAGTATTTGACTAAGATTATACATAATTTCAGAGCTGTCAAATAATATTTCCAGTACTTGTACTTTTCTGCTAAACTTATCGTAGAGAGGCTCCAAATTAATATTCTGTATCAATTTCATTGTATGATTTAAATTACACAAGAAATGTATTAGAAAGCGGAGCAAACGATAAGCAGCGCGCGGTAGTCCACTGCAGAGAGCCTACAAACAGGTCGTACTACATTTCCCGTCGTGCTCTCTCGTCGCTTGTGTGAGCTCACGTTTCCACGTGAGCTCCATTCAGCTGAGCGCTGTAAAGGCTGAGTGAATGGCTCGGGTTCGTGCACTAACCTTCTCACTTTAATGGTATTTCCAGCAGATAATGCGTCGTAGCGTGCTTGATGTGGTCTTCTTGTGCTGTTCCGCGACCCTCTTAACGTGTTTCTTGGAGTATTTTGCATGCATGGCTCAGGAAATAACGGCAGCTGCATCAGCCAGCCAGCCTGCCAGAAATCAGCCAGTTGATGATAAAGGTGCTCTCTCTCTTTCTCTCTCTCAAGACACGGACATTGGTGGTCCGCAGTGAGCTCCAAATGATTTTACCCGAGCCAGCAGATCGCAGTCTGCGGCACTAGATAGTTACGTAAGGATTAGTTGAAATGCAGGCGCAGTAGGACGATGCAGGAGCTGTGTTTAACGTGATATTTCTGCTCAGACTTTGGTGTTTCCCAACCGCTCAGTTATGGAATGCAACGTTGCGGGTTGCGGGGGTGTTCCCCTTCCTTACCATCAAGTTAGTTATTGTGTATGCAGAAAGAAGGAAAGAGAGAGAGAGGTCCTTTCTAGCTATGCGTTATATATATATATATAATATATATATATATATATATATATATATATATATATATAATCTCACACATACAGAGTATAGGATCCAGTTGTAATTCATGTGTTATCAACAGGAGGCAGAAGATGGAAACCGTGAAAACATGGAACCATGATTTTATTTCACTTAACCAGCTGGATAAGAAAATCCACTCCAAACAAAATGGTAAGATAGCTTAAAACCTCATCATCAAGCCTAGTATTTGGTCACAAGAGGACAAATATGATAAGCTCTTTAATGTTAGTTCACAAATTAAGATTTTGGCCTTATGTTAAATCTATCTTCTTGACACATGTATTGGCATTGTCACATACTTGCTTCTATTATATCACAGTGATAACTCAGGAAGGATGGCCCTTATGCCTACCTATATTTGCGGAGTTTTATTCCAAAATGCTGTGTATCCATTTGTTGGAATTTTGGATGCTTTGGAAGTTTTTTTAAAGAATAACAGTTGGCCTATAATGGAAAACACATTTTATTTCTCCGACAACTGATTTTGTTGATTATAAAATAGCGTTGGTGTTTCTGGTTTGTGTAAAGTCCACTCCCAACAATGTAGATCATTTTAAAAAAATCTTGAAAGTGATCTATAATGTTTTTTTTTTTGTACAGTGCAGAGATTTTGTGTCTAATAGAATTTGAATACAAAGTAAGAAGTACTCTGACGTTGTCACTTGGAGAACTGCAGAACGTAAGCTACTGATAGCTGACGTCTGAGGAATCTCAGTACTTATTTCAACTTTTGGTTTTCTAGGCATGATTGCCAAGAATCTCCTCAACACTCTCAAGATCCGTAACCATTTACAGCTCCAGCCCATTTCTCGTTCAGCATGTGCTACTGGTAAGTAATAGCAACCACTTCAGTCAATTCCAGCGATTTCAAATGCATTGTCAGCTGTATTTTGTATAGCAGAGAAGATGCTGCAAAACTGTCATGACAGTATTCCTCATCTTATTAAAAAGAAATCTTTTTTTCAATTTTGCTTGGCGAGTCACATGCTGAAGAATTTCCCACATGGTCTGATGAAAGGCTTTGAGAAGGTGCTTTTTCAGCTGTGTTTTAATTAGTTACATTTAGTGATGCACACTATCAAACACAGACATAGACACACCTTTTCCTGTGTTTCTGTATTTACCCATTAAGTCAGTCCATTTTGAATTTGTCATAATGTGTAGAATGTATATAAAATACCATGTATACCCTAACTGAGGAACTGTGGAACTTGTTTTGCTGTTTCACCATTTCTCCTAGTAAACAACCAGCTAATTTTCCTTGAAGATATATGGGCGGCTGTCTTGTGTACTTCCTAGTACAGCACAGGCTGATGTACAAGAGTGCACAGACACGAATGCTTTGTGCTGCCACAGCTATTTGAAATTGCACTCTGTTATCAAATGCGCTTGTCGTCAATCAGCTGAACAATAAAGCGTTTGAGCAGCAGTCTGAAGTGAGATATGTGGGAGTATTAATGCCTGCGTCGTGTTGCAGTGGATCAAAAAGACCCTTCAACTCCCTTAATGAGTGTCCTCCTAGGATCTGCAGACAGGGTTTCCACGGCCCCTCTGAGACAGGTGGCTCACACACATACACATAGAACAGCTCCAAGTTAGCCTTTTAATTCCTGTCACTAAGGGTCTAGACTGAAACACCTCTCAGAATGAGAGGTGGCTCAGCTCAGTTACATTATTTTGAAGGAAAATGGTGAATCAGATTTGGAAATATTGGAAAACTGGGTAAATTGGTTGAAAATTGTATGTGTTTTCACCAGTCCATGGACTCAATTTGCTTTAGCAATTAAATTGCTGTTCCTATGTTTTTTTTTTTTACATGAAAAACGAGCCTTGGCTTTAAAAAGAAAGGCAGAGCTTGAATAAAGAGGGAGCTCTTACTTTTGTGATTTTCCCATTGTGGGACATTAGACATTAGAATTATCTTATCTTACAAGACCAAGCAAGCTTAGTTCAGCTGAAGCACAAACACACCAACATTCTTTTTCAGAATGTTTAACCTTTACCAATTACTTTAATGTAGGTTCCTGAACATATTTCTTCCTCATGAGGCATAATGCAAAATTTTTAGGTTCTTGGGCAATTCCCTGTGCTCAAACGTGGTGTGTCATAAGCTATTTAGCTGGCTCATGTTAAGGAGGCATCATTCTTGGATGGGATCTGTGTAACTAGCTGTCTACAGTTACCTGATTATTGTGAGAATTTGAGTAAACCTTCAAGGCAACAAGTCATTTACAACTGCATTCAGTGTTGAAATATTTGTCTTTTGAAACTGTTGCAGCCCCAACCAACCAAAGCGCTGCCTACAGCAATAAAGGAGAGTCACTTAGGGACACTGGCTATTTTTTGCTTGTCTGATCCGCTGTCAGACAAAGATAGATAACTTGTATACTACTGCTTATCCTTCTTGTTATTTTCCTTGTCTTACCTGTGTTAGGATCCTGTCCAGATCTGATCATGAGTAGGAATGAGCAGCCTGACTCACGACCGGTCCCCATGGCACTGACCCCACAGCTGCCACCCAGAACCCACCGCCCCCTCTGCCTTTCAGTGTCCTCTGACAGCAATGGCCGCTTTAAAGCTCTGGAGACCCAGGAATGGAAGAACAACCTCAAAGCTCAGGTATGGGCAGTGGGTCCGCATCTCTGGTGTGTTACACCAGAGTTCACCCAGCCAATGCACCACATATAACGTCTTTATTTGGTATTGCTTTTTTCAGTATGTTCAATACTGAATCAAGACAGTTAAATTTGGAGCACTATGATCTGAGGCAGCTACATCAGCTATGTGTGTGTATGTGCTTGCTCTGCAGATGGAGCAGGCCCACAGTGCTGGGGCTGCCAGCAGCACAGGTTCTTTGGAGAGGGCATCACTCTTTTGTGCTTCTGGCTCCACCACCACCTCCAGCTCGGGCCTCTCCAGCCCCGTGGAACTGCTCACCAAAAGCAAGTCGTCGAGCCGCTTTTCTCTCTTTTCCCCGCCATGGAACAGTAGCTCGGAGTCCGATTCCAACCCCCCATCTCGCTCCGGGTCCAAGAAACTGCGCAACTACAGCCGCAGGGCAGGACCTGTCGGGGTCAAGACTGGACCTGAGACCCCGGAGCCCAAGCAGAGCGGCCCAGAGCACTTCCAGTACTCAGAGCCTGTTATCTCCAAGGTGACAGACTACATCTATGTGGGGAACCTAAACGCGGCCTATAGCGGTCGAACACTATGCCGCAACAACATTGACAGTATCATTGACATGAGCAGCCTGCCGGGGGAAACTTGTTTAAGCTTGATTCCCTGCACCTGCTCACGGGGGGCCAAGCACAGTTGGTCTCGACTTAAGGTGGACATCAGCGAGCTGCCAGACATGGCGCGGGATGGCCTGGCCCTGCGCCAGCGCTGCTTTGAGGACATCAACGAGTGCATTGATGCCTCCACAGAGAAGAGGAAACGCGTGCTGGTGCACTGCCGTGATGGCTTCTCACTCGCCCCCACTTGCGTCATCCAGTACCTCATGATCAAGCAGAACATGAGGCTGATCGCTGCCTATGAGCTGCTGAGAGCCAAGCACCCAGTCAACATTCGCGAGTGCCACCAGAATGTGCTGGTGAGCCTGGAGAGGGCCCTGCGGCCTGGGGGAAACACGGACCCCGAGTGCTTCAAACAGGCCATCTCGCGCAAAGTGGCATGGACCTAACTGTACTGTAATACACTACACGTTTATGTTCTGGCTTCTATCTAATACATTTGTTTTCTTTTGTGATTGGGGAAAGGCAGCCTTTTTGCATCCGGCAGTGAGCTACAAGGTTGGAGAAAACTTCTAGCTCTGACAATTAATTTTTTTATCAGTGCACTGGCCAATTCAAAAAGCTTGAAAATTTAACTCAGTTCTCTTCCAGACTAAACTTGAGAGGGGAAAAAACAAGCAGAAGTAATGCACTGTATAGCTGCTAAACATGGGGGGCTTTCTGAGGATATGTCTCCTGTGGTTAATGATTAGACTCTCAGTTTGGTGCTGAAGTCTTGTGTGTATGTGTGAGGGAGGGTCTGCAGCCATAGCACAAGCTATAAATTTATGTTTCAGGGGAACATGAAAGGAAATCTCAGGAGACCCAATGATGTCAAACATGGCTACATGATAAAGCTGACCAGAGATGAGGTCGACTACTACGCAGACGTGTTCAACTTCTCCAACTGGACTGCCTGTGAATAATGGTCACTGACTCTACTCATTGAGTGTCAGTCTAGTGAGGTCATTGGCTGCTGCCATTGTAAACATAAACACAAAAACTTTGCCTGCAGTTTAATAGTCTAAAACATGTTGAAATCTCTGCATTTTCCAGAGTCATTGGACATTCTAAACAATATGTAGGTAAGAGTTGTCCTCCATGAGGAACCCAGTCACTTACCAACTGTCTTCTCCAGTCATGTGAAAATCGTCTTTGGACGAAAATTAGCTTTGGAGCTTGAGAAGTGTGGACTATCGTTGTATTGTTGTGTGTGCAGTAAAACTGGAACTGACCCGTCTGTATCTTTGATGGATTGTCAGCATTAGTGTTCATGGATTTGACAGAATTGTGAAGCAGTGTCCAACTGCAAAGACCTTGTATTGCACTACGTTGTATAGAAACTGCACAAGTGAAATGCTCATTAGATGACACCCCGTTTCTTTTGGTTCTTCATTGCTCAGCACAAATAGATTCATTATTTTTTGGATTATTATGGTACATAGTTCTTGTGTTCTGATTAATTGATTGCTATTGTATTTTCCTTAGCCCTTTAGGAAAATCTAACAAACCCTCAGAACTATGTGGTATTGCTTATACTTGTCAGCAGTGCTTATTATATTTTGATATTTAGTGAGCAGTGTGATGAGGAGAGAAGCTCCTGAGGTTTTGGTGCCTTTGTTTAAAATCGTCCCGTGTGATTGTATTGTGACATTCACACACTATGTATGCAGTTGTCAGGCACTGACAATTTTTTTACGCTCTGAAATGTTCTGTATAAATGCTACTCTTTGTTCTGCTGTGAGTAACGCATTGTGATGTATGGCAGAGCACAGTTCTGTACAGTTACGTAAAGGTTTTGTTGCAGTGGTCATTCCGTGCACAGTGACAGTATTTTCAATCAGTGTGGTGATGGCTAGTGCATCTCAGTCTGAGTGGTCATTTCTTAGTCCCTACAGGTCTGCTGTTCACTAAAAACATTAACAAAATTTAAAACTATATTGAGCTTAACTAGAATGATTTCTGTTGTTGTATATTTCTAAAGGATGCTACTTTTAAGGTCTAACTTGATCTCAGGTGAACTTTATTGGCTTAGACTATAATGCTCTCTGTTTAAGTTAGATACCACAATAATGTGACAATGTATTTTCTGTATCATGTTTTTAAAGTCTTATGCATTTGTATATGTAGATATTAAAGAAAAAAAATCAATTCACTTGTGACTCTATTTGTACTTAAACAGTAATTAAAACATTTACTACAGGAAGCCGTGGTGCTTCAAGTAATTAATTATTAGTGGGTTGTTCTCAAGCCTTTTCAGTTACGTTGACCTTAAAGGTAACTGCAGACAAGATATCAGCACTTCATTATTTATTCTTAACTGCTTGCCTCTCTTTAAGGAAACAGCTAAAGTGTCTCTGTTGAGAGTCGTCATTCAACAGTTTACACCTCTGACCAATCCAACCAAAGCTTTTCCCCTCTCCATTACGCACACTCTGCGTGTGTGCACTTGTATGTGCATAGGTTATAATAACTCTCAGGCTTCACCCCCTTAATGCCCTTCAGAATTCTTGCTTAGTGTACCATCTCCACTAATGCTTCTGTTCTTCCAGTTAGTCTAGAAACCCCTAACATCTTTTCTTCCCTATCCATTTAAAACAGATGGAATGATGAGAGATCGTTTTTCTTGTCTACTAGAGATGGCATATGAGAACAGCTATCAGGCCGATATCTAGAATATGAATTGGATATCGAAGGGAAAACATTTTTTTTCCTGTGGGGTAGTGGACTGAGTAGTTTAAGCATGATAGCCTATTTTTAGACGTTCATCTTGAGTAAAGTGCTTCAATTAAAAATGGCATATTTTAAAGCTCAGTAGTTTTAGTTGAAAAAAATATTACAGTGGTATTGGCTGATACTCAAGGTTTCAATATCAGCATCAGAAAAAAAAACATGTTATCATGCTGTCTGTGCTGTCTTTATGTCTGGACCACCAGAAGCCTAGAAAATCAAAAGAACATTAAATTTGCTACATGCTTAAGAAAGCTGCATGTTTTTGGAGATATGCATTGTGGTGGGTTGCTCTGAATCAGCTCCCCAGGTTGTTTCCTTTGCTGCATACCATCAGGCTCTTAGTTTCCATTCCATTACATCCACATTCGTCCTCTCCTCAGCTCTTGTTTCTGCAGTTGGATTCCTTCCTGCCGGTCCCCCAAGTCCCTAGTGCTCCGCCACATCAATGACAGCTCTGCACCTACTGCCCTGTTTACTTTAGCAGTGTCCCAACTTCACCACCCAGAGCTGCTGCAGCTCATGTCTTCTTCTATCAGAACCAGCTAGAACAACAGTCCTGCAGCAATAAAGCAACTTCTACCAGCCCTAGTAGGCCCAGTGCAGCCCCACCCTCTCCATAACAGGCATGCAGTTTGTGTGAATAATTAAAAATAAGAATCACAATCTTGAAGGAAGGGTTATTTATATTGATGGGGTGAAGGGAGGAGTTGGGGCTAAGATATAATGTTTCAGGTGCTTGCTAGCCCATTGGCCTCGGAGTGAAACTACTTCCATAAAGAGAAAGATGGGATTTCCTTGGCCATTGGGGAATGCAATATATACCTTCACATAATGCCAGCTGCCTGCAGCGCTCCCAGTCTTCCCCCATTCTCCCGGCTGTGCGCTCCACTCCACCTCCTTCCACTCATAGGTGAGAGCCTCTGTTCTGTTTTTTGCTCAGTCGCTGCTGTCTTCCAAGCCCTTGTGCTGCGTTTGACCTTTTGGATTAGCACCTTGGCAGTGGGAACTGTCCTGTCTGATCTAATTGTGTCTGGTCTATTGTGCACAGGAGGAGGATTGTAATGTGTTGAAGTTGTCCTTTGCAGTAAACAGATGTTCTGTGTGTCTGTGTGGCACTATTTGTGGTGTGCTATGTATGTGAAGAGGCTAGCATTTGTGAAACCTGCTTGGAGAACTATTATTTTGACACACATATTGAATTATAATATTTAATTATTTGCAAATTCTGACCATATTTGCATTTATAGACTCATTTATGCCATACAAAGATGTTCCTTATAGATGTTCCAAAGACATTCCTTATATTTACTGCAAGGGTCAAATGGCTGTAGTGAGAGATATATATTCATACCTGCTATCTCTGCTGGTTGATAGATTGCGTACTGAAATGACTTACTGAACCTAAATTGCTCATGGTGCGGTGCTCTGAAAAGTAATATGGCCATGTTTATCTTCTTGTCACTGTGAAATTCTTGATATGTAAATGTTGGGTTTTAGATAGAACTCCAGATACGTATGTAATGTTAAAAGTGCCACAAAGACATCAGAATCATAGGTCGAGGCAGAGGTGTGTGCAAAGGGATTTGTGAGAGTGAAAAAGAAGATTACAGAAGATTAGCCCACATTATCACCATACTAATTCCAGTAAACACTTACGACATGGCATTGTCATGTGCATTGTGCTGGCTAGATTCTTTCCCTTGGGGCATTGTGAGAGAGGTGATGATTTTTTCTCTGCGCATTACAAATTTGGATTACGAAGAGAAGTTTTTTCTAGTCTTTTCTACATTTATTTTCCTTTTGTTCATGGCTTACTTTCTCAGTTTCCTTTTTTTATATGACAAATTTTTCATACTTGGTTTTGTCTTTTTTGACATAAGAAATCTTTCTTCTATGTTTGAAATGATTAAAAATGATTGCTTAGCAGAAAGCTGCATGAAATGCAGTTAGATTATATTGCGCTACACCACATAGACTTACAATGGCTTATTGTATAAATTCTTAGTTTAAGCCACTTTCTGATCTATACGCTGTAATGTCTTTACCATGTTGGGACTGTTCTAGAAGGCTGGGTGGGCATAAACTAAGGAGGTGTCATATTTTTTGATAATCATCCAGTGACAAGCTTACCATAACAGAGACCCACAAGCCTGTCAGCTGAAGAACTTCACCCCCACCCAAATATAGCCACTGATTCTCTTAAGCTGATTTGGCCCCCCCATTCCCCCCAACCCTTAGTCTCAGCCCCGCCCCCAACCCTCAGTCTCAGCCCCCAGCCCTGGCCCCTTATCTTTGACCTGACACCACCACTGCCAGGTTTCCCCTATTACAACATGAAGATTTTGGATAATTCAGTAACAATTAAGGAATCAATTAAAAAGCAATTTGTAATGACCGATCGCTCCTACTTGTTTTTTTCCCCAAAATTCTTTATGCATGATGTGAAAAGGTGCCTCAATCTGTGGGAAGCTGCCTCGAGGACTATACAGGTTTTTCGAGTGTCACGCAACATTTTAATAAGGCTTGATGGCTTGCCGTTACACTTTGTCTCATCTAAGCTACCTTTCTGTATTTACTTTTTCAGTACATTATCGTATGTTTATTTCTTTACATATTGGCGTTACTGTAGAACTCACTGCATGTTCTTTTATACTGCAGGGTGTGAAAACAAAACTCAGCCAAGATGTCGGAGTAAGTAAACACTTATGCTGTTCTAAGTGTGCTTTACAGTTCCCTCAGTTAATTTAAATAAACAGTGGTTGCATGTTCATAATGGGATCTCACACAGCAAATTCGCAGGGGTTTACATTACCTTGTGTGCGTAAGTGGAAATGTATTAAACTATAATACAGGCAATGTCTGAGTTGTCACTGTGTATGTGTAAAACATGATGTACCTGATATTTTCATGGATTTCCTCATCATTCCAATCCAAACTCTTAAGGAAAAAGATGTCATCGAGTCGCAAGCATCATCTGAAGGTATATTAAATTCTCTCTCCATTGATTCCTTCGTTCATTCATTTATTTGTTTTTATTTATTATTATTTATTTATTTATTTTCATATTATCAAGAGATTTACAATTGTGTGTTTTATGATGCAGGAGTCCGCTACTTTTTATGATACTGTCTAGCTTTTCTGGGAACTAATTCAGTCTGTCTTTCCTGCAGAGCTTGATGCTCTCCATTGCTAAAGGTTTACTGGAGGTGGAAGGAAGGGAGAGAGAGGAGGAGAGAAAAAGATACATGGCAGAGACATGCCCTGCTTTATCCCTGCCAGGAGGCATGCAAGCTTTACAGGTACTGATTTAAACACGCACAAATAACACATAAGTAAGTAGATCAAGAATACACGTTACTGTGGTTAATTGTGTCCTTTTATGTTACAATAATACAAATTTAGAATACTGACATTAGAATGTTAGACAACTTCTGATCTGGTATTAGCTTTATCATGCCACACACAGTACTGTGCAAAAGCAAAAGACCACTCCTCAGTCAAAATGTCCATATTGTAAAATGTATTATTTTTTCTGGAGATATTTTTAAGGACGCTAGAAAGCCAAAACAAATAAGCGGGGAAAAGAGTAGACATCTCCAAAGCTGGAGTTCAAAAATTATTAAAAGAGAAAACGTGACTCCTAACAAGACCAGACAGACCACCACAACTATTACCATCATATAAACAGGACTAATATTTTTCATCTTTGAGAAAGAGGAGAAAATCAAGCTCCACCCTTGCTTAAGAAAAAACCCACAGGTGTTTCTCTCCATCCTTCCACTATGAGAAGACAACTCAACACTCTGAGTCTGAAAGGATGTGTAGCTGTCAAGAAGCTGTTACTGAGAACAGGAAAGAGAGAAAAAAGGGATTTGCACTGAACACTGAAACTGGACATTTGGCATGTGGAGTAAGGTTTTATAGACTGATGAGTCTAAATTTGTGATTGGGATTACTTGGATTGGCACCAACTGCAACCAACTTCTAAGAACTTTGGAGGTCCAGTATAAAAAATATCCCCTGCAAATTTCTTTGAAAAACTCAAAACAAGTTTCCTGAAAAGAATGGAAACTGTAATATAAGCGAAAGGCGAACACACTATATACGGACACAAATTATATTATATTGCTATATATTGCTGTTGAGGCTTCTACATAATTTTCTGTTAAAATACAGTGGGGTCCCAAAGTCTGAGACCATCTTGAAAATCTTGTATTTTTTAAGTCAGGAAATAAACACTAAATGTTTTAGAATTAAAAAAAAAATATGACAAGTAAAAAAAAAAAGAAGAAGTATTCAAGATTCTGCACTTTTGAAACTGAAGCATGTTTTGTTAAGGTCTTTGTACAAAAGGGTCAGTTATTTTCTTTAGTCTTAT